GGGAAAAATTGGAAATTTTGATAAATTATAAAATTTTGGAAAAATTAATGAAAATTTTGGAAAAATTGTGAAAACTGAAAATTTTGGAAAAATTGAAATTTTATGAAAAAGTTGAAAATTTGGGAAGTTTTGGTAAAAATTGAAAATTTATGAAAAAGTTGAAAATTTGGGAAGTTTTGGGAAAAATTTAAAATTTATGAAAAAGTTGAAAATTTGGGAAGTTTTTGAGAAATAGGGAAAAATTGGAAATTTGAGGTTTTATCGAAATTTCTTAAGTTTTGATGGACTTGATTTTCTAGTACTATCAATTAATGGTCAATGTTTTTACAGTTTTTTACCAACTTCACTTTAGCGGCACTTCGCTTTTACACTAATTGAACACGACAAAGTGATTTCTAAGAACGTATATACAAAACTACTTTATTTCTATAAAAATAACAACATTTTTAATACTGCGTAAAAAGTAAGCATCAAGTTTCTTTTCTTTCTCTGAGATTGCAACAATATAACTTAGTTTTAATGGATGGAATGTAATCTTCAACTCACTATTGCAATAATACTGTGACTACTTTTGTCAACTTTTGACAATATCAGAATACTATGTTGGCTCTGTATATAAATACTGTGACTTAATACAACCTAATCAACCTTATTACTGTACTTATACTGCGAAAGGTCTTGAATTTGAGTTTGCTCATAAAGGCGATAACTCTAGCACTTTGGTTATAAAATATAATATCTAATATAATATTTACAAGTATAAAAATATAAATCTTTGAATGAGCACGTGGTATGTAATGGCTATTGTATGGGAGAAATCGGGCGATTGCACGATTGAAGAAAGAATATTTTGTCCCACGACACAATTAAGGTAAGGAGACGCGGTTGTTAATAATGACGGCTAGTTAAAGCAAGCATTAGGTTTGACCAAAATGGGGGGGGGGGGTCACACCGGCTGGCTAAGGCAAGTGTGATGGTTTTTGGCAATTTTTGGCAAGTTTTACGGCAGAGGATAACCCACTTTAGGCAAGATTTATGGCATAAAATATGGTTAATAAGTAAAATATACAAGTAAACTCTAAATCTAATACATATATTGTGAGTTAAGACCAACAGGCTTTGAGTTTTGAGGTTTTAAAATCTTTCATAAGATTTGGAGTTTTGACAAGATGGCTACCTTGTCATGTTTAAGCCTTATGACCTACTTAGTTTTTTTTGGTCTTCTTTAAGAGAAAGTTTTTGTTTATAAGTTTATTTAAGCTTCACAAAATTATCATTAATGGTAAAGCTAACTTTTATTAAAGTTTCAGACTCTGATCTCACTTGAAAATACTAAAATTCCTAAGTTAAAAAATTCCAATTTCGAAAGCACATGAACAAAGGACAATGGCGAATTTCAAAATGGACAGCTTCTTCCCCAAATTATGTGACAAAGTTTTTGGCAGATATTTTCCGAAATACTTATCAGAAAGTTTTGCAAAATAGTTCAAAATTTTGCATTTAATTTAGGTCACAATAATTTTTATAGTCCCTTCAACAACAGGTACTATAAAGGGGGGATTGAGTTTTTTCAAATGAAGAAACTTTACTAAAGTTTTTAGAAATCAAACTTTCTGAAGGCAAAGTTTTGAACTCTGATTTTTCACATGAATCTGAATTTCAATGAAACATATTTACCTCACTCATGTTGCAAACGTATCTTCTCAACAGCGAAAGTTGTTTTCGATGATGGATGGCACGAAATAAGAATGATATTATGCGATTTAAATGCGGCTGGATTATCAGTCAGGCCTTCTTCTCCAAATTCAGTAATAGTAATAAAGTAGGTCAACCATGACACACCACATGTTTAAAATTTATGTAACTTTAAATTACAAATAAACTTGTTACCTGAACATGTAAAGACACATAAATATAACAAGGAAGCTGGTACTATGAATATACATGGATATTAATCTTTAAAACCCATAAATGTGAGTAAAAACACATATTTCTAATGTCTGCATGTAATTAATATGGGGCGTGTCATGTGACACTTCTGAAAATTATTCCTTGAGTTCTAAGTACAAAATAAATTGCACAATTACATATTAAATATACCATGAAATAGCTACAAACATGAGGCGGAACATACATACATATAAAATACATAAAAAGAACAAACTGTCATACCTGAAAATGTGTAAAAAATACAAAAATATTTTCCCTGGTTTTTTACACCATCCCCTCTTTTGAGGAAATGTCCGTCCCGGACATTATCACTTTAAAGCATATATAACACAATGTTCACTAAAATATATAAAGTCCTACTGCTGGCTCTTCAGATCTGAGATGCACTTTTCTTTGAGTAATCCACTGGTATGAGTTGTTGTCCATTTGGCATAAAATATGCCACAAGATCAATACGTTTGATGATTGGTTTGGCGATGAAGTCTTGAATATCATATTGCGTGGTATTGTCCTTGCTTCTCGAATGTGCTTGGGAGTAATTGTTTATTACTAATGTGTTAGTAGTTGTGGTTGTATAAAGTGTTGGTTTGGGTGCACTTAAAGTTGTTGATTTGTATGAGACATCTTTGGTTTTATCTTCCTTGTTTGTAGTCCATGGTTGGAGTTGAACGATCGCAGTACTTTCCTCTTGTGTGTCCTCTAAAGCATATAGTTCTGTAGGCGTATCACTCACATATCCACACTCTTTTATATAACACACCTATAGTGTATTCACTCATTGAATCAAGGCTATACCAGTGTATATCCCAATGATATACAACTCACTTCAAATAAAGGAATTTCTGCATTTCGGGATATGAAAATCACATATAGGTATGGTACATATTGGTTATTATCCTACACTTAGTCTACTAAATGTATAATAACATTAAAAAATAAATTTGATATTTATTGGCAAAATGAATATCCGGAGGAGATTAAAATGATATTCTGAAAAAAATCATAGGATGTTCTTATTATCCTACACTTACAAGGAGTGTACTGAATGTATAATATTCAATTAAAAAATTGAAATTGGTCAATTTTCGTGGACTTAAATGTTCAGGTTGTGGCTGACAGAAAACTGACAATACAGTTGCTTTGTGATTGTAATTTCTTTCTATCTAATCCCAATGTAAACAATTATGTATCTTTTGCATTTTTCTAGGAAATCACCACTGTAGGCAAAGAATTGGGAATTTCTCCTAAAATCGTACAAGGGGAAGACCTTGACAAGCAAGGATTTGGAGGTAAATGTTGTGAAATGAAATAGCATAATCAGCAGTCACAAATTGTAAACATGCACAAACAAGAAAAAACTGTGTTATTCTCAACATATCATACAACAAAATGTGTATGACGTGTTCTTGGTGAATATTGGTGGTAGTATCCCTTTAGTTTGATCCTTTGAAAGAATATGAGTATTTGGCTCTTACAGAAACATCCACCATGCTATGCATGTCCCTTGTATTAGTTCATCATCACATCGGAATGATTTGTATGTATTTTTCCACTAGGACTGTATGGGGTCGGAAAGTGTGCCGTCCACAAGCCAGCACTTGCTGTCCTTAGCCATACACCAGAGGGCGCTAGTAGGACTATAGCATGGGTCGGAAAAGGCATCGTCTATGACACAGGCGGTCTCTCCATCAAAGGCAAAGTAAGCATACTAAATACCATCTTCTAGCAGATAACCAAAACCTGTATGTCTTAAATAGTACAATGGTTTCCCTTTTACAATACTGCATCCAATAGTAATCAGTTATGTTATATCAGATTGTGTCAATTCCAATGTGTTATTTAGTGTAAAACTAGATGCCAATGTTTCATTTCCACATTGAATTCAATGTCTTTTATTCTATTATTGTAATTGTTTTTGTGATGTATTGTACGAATACATACACTATATTCTAATATTTACTGTATACTGCTTTGTATTGTATACTTTTGTGGATTTCATATTGTAAACTATTGTGTATTGAATACTTTGATGTAATTTACACTATAGTCTATTCATTATAAACTATTGTTTATTGTGTACTATGCTGAATTGACTACAGTCTTATATTTTTAACTATTGTGTATTGTACACTTATTGTAGACTGCCATGCCTGGGATGAAGAGGGACTGTGGTGGAGGAGCAGCAATACTAGGAGCTTTCTACTCAGCAGTTAAACAGGTAAGCCCAGGGACATGGGATACTGTAGATTGGTACTAATAAATTTGGCGATTTTGTGATTTTTGGCATATTGGTGGCTATTTGATTTGGCAGACACTAAGTTCTGGTTTTACAGACCAAATCCATGCTGTGTACTATTATTTCAGGGTTTTACAGAGAACCTTCATACAGTGTACTGTTATTTTAGGGTTTTACAGAGAACCTCCATACAGTGTACTTTTATTTCAGGGATTTACAGACAATCTCCACGCAGTGTACTTTTATTTCAGGGGTTTACAGACAATCTCCACACTGTGTACTATTATTTCAGGGTTTTACAGACAATCTCCACACTGTGTACTTTATTTCAGGGTTTTACAGACAATCTCCACGCAGTGTTTTGTCTGGCAGAAAATGCAGTTGGTTCGGTCGCAACAAGACCTGATGACATTCTAAAGCTATACTCTGGGAGGTAAGTCTCACAGCTCTATAAAAAATATTTCACAATGATTGACTGGAAATAGTATTATTGGGCATGAAATCATAAAATAATATAACAATTGAACTTGGGTATGCAACTTCAGGTAGGTAAAAACAGCAGAAACATGTGACCACTTGATTGTTAAGATTTTTGATCAATATTTGTATGAAATTAAAATTTGAAATTAGGAAGTAAAAGGCATTAACAGCACAAAACGTCACCACCTGCTTGCAATTGCAAGCTAAGCCATTAATACAGACAATGGTGCTTAATATCTACACCAGTCATTAAAAAATGGTGACTTTTAATATCGCATCACTTCTTGGTGTTGAAATTAAAAGTTTATTTGTAATAATTTTCAGGACAGTTGAGGTAAATAACACTGATGCTGAAGGCAGGCTTGTGTTGGGGGATGGTGTGGCATATGCTGACAAAGACTTGAAGGCAGATGTCATACTAGATATGGCCACCTTAACTGGTGCTCAGGGTATAGCAACAGGTAAGATATTCTGAAAATGCAGTGGCCATATTTATTATTAAACATATTTTATTCCTCTATATATTACATTACATACATTTTATTGATACAGTTTAACGAAACGGATTGGACAAAAGGCTTTCGCCTATTCTTAAGTCCTCTCCCTAAGTTGTCCCAGAAAATTGTTACAGTTTTATTTATTTGTGCAGGATGGGAGGCTTGGCCATATAGAGTAGGACAAACAATTTCAGTTAGTGTTAGCTTATATCCAGTAGAATTTTAGGGAGATAAGTTGGTAGGATATATCCTGTATCCTGATTTTGAGGTTTCCATATCCAGAGCCTCTATATCTCCCGCCATATCTCCTGGTTCGGGGCATATCTTCTCACTTCCAATAACTGAAAAAATGAAGAAAAAAAATTGAATTTTTTTTAGAAATTTCTACTTTGTTTAGGATATTTAAGCAGTGATGTACAGTCAGTTTGGAAATGGGGTTTGTCCTTTGGGAGATTTGCATATCTCCCTCTGGATAAACCCCATACCCAAAACCTCCCAGTATGTAACCTTAATATATCTGAGATTGTTTGCCTTATCCTATGTTGCTCTTGAAGAAAAGAGTTGAGCGCTAGATTAAAATTATCAATACTCAATAAAGTAATTGTGATGTAATTCAGTTTAAAGCACAATTACTTTTTCCATTATGCCCCAAAATGATAGCTAATCCCTGTTTTACCAACTGCATTGTTTTTCAGTTTAAAAACCCCAAAATTGTCCCTCTAGAAAACTCAAAATATATTTTTTCGTACTTTTGACTCCTTTAGATATTATCTACCACACAAAAAATATTCTTGATTAAGGAAAACCATATTAGTGCCATGCATCTGTGATATATCTTAGTAAATGCCATGCATCTGTGATGTTTTGGTAAATGCCCCTGTATATGTGGTATGTCTTGGTAAATGTCAAGCATATTTGATATGTCTTGGTAAATGTCAAGCATATTTGATATGTCTTAATAAATGTCAGGCATATTTGATATGTCTTGGTAAATGTCATGCATCTTTGATATGTCTTGGTAAATGCCATGCATCTGTGATGTTTTGGTAAATGCCCCTGTATATGTGGTATGTCTTGGTAAATGTCAAGCATATTTGATATGTCTTGGTAAATGTCAAGCATATTTGATATGTCTTAATAAATGTCAGGCATATTTGATATGTCTTGGTAAATGTCATGCATCTTTGATATGTCTTGGTAAATGTCATGCACTGTGCTATGTCTTGCTAAATACCATGCATCTGTGATATTTCTAGGTAAATACCATGCGTCTGTGATATTTCTAGGTAAATACCATGCATCTGTGATAACTAACAATGAGAACTGGGAGCCTGGGTGTGTCAAGGCAGGCCAGAACTCTGGAGACCTGTGCCATCCCATGATTTACTGTCCAGAGGTCCATTTTGCAGAGTTCTCCAGTGCAGTAGCTGATATGAAAAATTCCGTCGCTGTATGTTTTAAAGTTTCATTATTTTTCATTTGCATATTATTCGTTCTTGTACAATGAATTGTATCGTCTTGTGTCATATTTTTTTTGAAGTTGATTCATTCATTTGAAGTAAAATGTTGCAGATTTTTGAAAGTGTACTAGTCTAAAGGATTTCAGCCCATGAATTGTAGGATGATTGAACAACATTTGTGTTGTTTCCAGACTTTGAATGAGTGTGACAGCATGAATTCAAAGTCTAGGAAACAACACATGAGTGGATTAAATCATCCATAATTCATTGAGTCATGGGCTTAAATTCTTTTCCCAAATTGCAAAAGATTCTGGACAGTACCTATCGATTGAAATGTTAAGCAGCGTCGCTGTTACAATGTAATTAGGAAAGCAGGGGAACTCTAACTTGTCTGCTTTTAACATTTGCCTTTTTGTTTCTTTCATTTTGCCAAACACATTTATGGGCTTAGATCTATTTTTTCATTGTCTCAAAGTAGACCAAAAACAGCATATAAGCTGATAAACTTGGCATGAGTAACTTGACAACCGGATCTAGAGTACAGATTAGAAATACTGATTATTCATGAACATACTGGATTACAATGAATATGTTTCTATGTTTTAGGATAGAAGTAATGCCCAAGTGTCCTGTGCAGGGATGTTCATAGCAGCACATTTAGGATTTGACTTTCCAGGGACTTGGATTCATGTAGATATGGCATACCCTGTACACAGTGTAAGTAATTAGGGGGAGGGCAGTAGAGAAGAGAGTGTAAAATTTTTAATAATTTTTTAAACATTAACTTATCCCCTCTGATCTCAACTGAAAAAATCTGAAAAAAGGTTTCAGGTGTGGAAATAAATATATTGTTTGAAATTGAAAAGTAAATGATTTTAAGAGAAATACCTAATTCTTTGCCTACCATGGTGAATTATTGCCCCAAAAGCCTAAATCTTGACATGTTCTTGAAATGAAGTCAGAACTTTTGGTCTTTTCTAAATAGATATGACAGGAGCTGCAACCAAAAAATTGTAAAATGGTGTCATTTTTTTTTATTTATTAATGTGCCCTAAACTGCTTTACTTTTTAACTTAATTTCCTGGCACAAACTGTCATGCATTCTATTGAAATACATTTCATAATGATCGTCCCCCCATCCACCACCAATCCTAAATAGCAGACGCACATATGTTATACATCATATGAAAGCTTAATTGTTCAATTCTGGACTCATTGAAACAACTTTGATTAAGCTCAACAGTTTTTACAACTTGCTACATATTTCTACAAAGGGTTCCCATTTTACCTTTAGCATAGAATCTGAAAGCCACATTTTCCAAAATTGGCCATTTGTCCTGCAAAAAGATATGATAACCATGCCTCAATTCACTAATATATATAGTAATGTTCACTTCTAACATTTGATGGATGCTGAGGATATATCTTAATATTATTTGAAAGACAAAAGTATTAAATATTTCAAAGAAATGACCAGAGAGCACTAGATGATACAATGGATTATATGGCATTCTACTCCTCTCTTTAAATCCATCAGGAATAGTAGACATAAAACTGAATTGAATAAGCTTTATTACGATATATAGATTATGGGAACATGTGATCTAGTATTGCCTGTGGATGGGGGGACGGTCATTATGAAACACCCTGTATATGGTCTTGCTATCATGTTACATCATACATACAAATATCATATCATGCAAAACAGGTTAATATACACATGATGTTTCTCTTAGTAATACTTCAAAGTGACAAAGAATGACTTTATTTGGTAGGCTCTCATGGTGTAAAAGCCATTTTCTTTAAATGACACAAAAATGGGAGCCAGAACTAAACGAGAAAATAACCTCCATGGGCCCATAAATTATTAGGATCAGACCAATGTGTTTTCATTTGTCTTACTGTTTTGATGAAAGGACAGATGGATAGAGAAATGTAGAAATATAAAAGTCTATGAAAATTTCATTTCATCTAGTATTTGTTCAACACCCATAATAATTCACAGACTTTCTCTTTTCAGGGTGAAAGAGCAACTGGTTATGGAGTCGCTCTTTTGTTGTCCTTATTTGGTCAAAGCTCACAATCGGCACTTTTGCAGTCTGTAGCACCATCTATAAAAGGGACTGATGTAGCGGAAAATATTGGCCAAAATGCCAGTAAGAAAATGCGTGTAGAATAAAAGAATACTAATAACTATTTAGTGTAACTAATTGATTAAGACAGAAAGCACAATTTGGTGATATTTAAATAATCACTGTGAAAGCACAATTTGTTTAAGTGGTCTTTAAAGAAAATATTGCCAAACAACTACAATTGCATTTAATGCATCACATAGAATAATTATTCGACAAATTATCTCTGTATATGCAGAAATATGATGGAGAATTTCTCCATGGGAACAACCCTGGGGGTCATTAACAGAAACTTCGTAAAGTTACAATTTGTAAATCAATTGAAACCATGGATATAATGACATCACAGTTAGAGAACAATGGAATTTACGAATTCTTAACTTTACAAAGTTTCTGTTAAAGCCTCCCTGAATAATGGGGTCAAATCAATGATAAACCTGAACCTGATATTATTTGATTCCGAAGTAAATGTTTGTAGATCATGTAGAAATGCATTGTAAAGTCTACAGTATTCACTGTACACTTCAACAGATTTATATGAAACTAAATGGAGTAATGTAGTAGAGTAACAGTGGTCTTTGACAGTGATTGATACAATAAATATGAAATGTAACAATAACACTTAATTGTATTGTTTGTGTATGAACTAATAGCACAGTTTATATTGGCTATTAAGTGTATGGTGCGACCATCACATATTATCTTAAACTTAAACTTATTATCTTAAAAATATCTCCAGTAAAACTTATTTTGTTGAATATCTCTCTCTAGTGAACACCTGTGTTTAGTGAACACCACTTCAAGACACATTTTACATTGACTCTTGAAAATGAATATTCTCTGTAGTGAACACCTACATACAGTGAACACTGTGGCTCCATATGTGTTCACTATATACAGGTTCTACTGTATATGTTCTTGAAAAATGGTTTTATGGAACAAAACTAAGATGTCAACATAATTATTGAGAGGACGAATAGGCGTAGTAATATTGGCTTTGTGAAACCTCTCCGTTTTTATTAAGTATTGCCACAGTAACTTGAATGAATCGTGAGCGAGACTTGTTCGCTGTACCTATTTTACTTGAAAATTTTAATACCGATGACTATTCTTAAGGTGCAAATCGCAAAGATGAAATGTCTTCTCTTCGTACTTTCCTAGACTAAAAAGTATCGCTGTTGCAGTCACAAATATTGGATATATCTCCAGACATCCTATATATTTTGTCTCATGGCCATTGCTGATTACAGTATTCGCTTTTCACATTTTGTCTAGCTACAAGCCTCTGTGACCCTCCCCCCTCCACTACTTGACAACACAGGTATGAAAACAAACTTTACATCCGGCTGTAAAGTTACGTTAAACCAGTGTATTCCTTCAATGATATGAAAAACATCTATTGAAAAAATTCAGGTGTGATGGACGTCAACTTATCAACAGTCGTGGAAAAACGTAGGAAATCTTAAAATATTGATTTGTCTTTCACTTGAATATTTTAAAAATCTGCAACTATTCGCCAACGAGACCCCTTCCCCTAACGGAACTAACGCATGCGCACTTCTATTTAGAGCTCAATTAACAGCTTTGTAGATTTCTTGCTACTCGCTGAAAACACATCTTCGCACGCTCCGGTCTTCACTACGTTCATCATTCGACCGACGGGAGCCGAGTGAACGAAGATGCTGAAAACAAGAGAAAATAGTTTGGACAAATATTATACTCGTTTCAAAATGTCAACGGAACGCCATTATTCAATAAAGATGAATGAGAATATAAAACTTTTTTTATCTTTCAATCTATCTTTATTTCAATTCAAAATATGTTTTACAGTGCAAATCTACATAATTGCATTAAAATGATGCATTTTAATTTCTTGTGTATCCTAACAATAGTTAACAAATATGATATACCACATTTCATTAAGCCATTCATTAAAATGTTTGTAGTCAATGTTTCGTATTTTATATCCAAAAATCAATGTTTTAATATCTGTTAAAACTATTGTGATTTTAAAATGATTAAAAATGTACTCTTCTAATTGTTTTAGCATTCTGTTTACTCTTTTACAATCTAAGAATAAATGTTGATAATTTTCAACTACGTTACATAAATCACAGTTTTCAGTTTGACTTATTTGCCATCTTTTAAGTAAGTGTAGCGAACCCGGGTTGATAATACAATGTCTGGAGACAAGTCTAGTCAAAAGTGTCCAAGTCCAAAATTATTTTAAGTGCAAATTTTTCCAAGTCCAAAAATTTATGAGTGAAAAATATTTTTGGGACTATTTTTGGAAATTATTGAAATTTTGGAAAATTATGAAAATTTAGAAATTTTGGGAAAAATTGGAAATTTTGATAAATTATAAAATTTTGGAAAAATTAATGAAAATTTTGGAAAAATTGTGAAAACTGAAAATTTTGGAAAAATTGAAATTTTATGAAAAAGTTGAAAATTTGGGAAGTTTTGGTAAAAATTGAAAATTTATGAAAAAGTTGAAAATTTGGGAAGTTTTGGGAAAAATTTAAAATTTATGAAAAAGTTGAAAATTTGGGAAGTTTTTGAGAAATAGGGAAAAATTGGAAATTTGAGGTTTTATCGAAATTTCTTAAGTTTTGATGGACTTGATTTTCTAGTACTATCAATTAATGGTCAATGTTTTTACAGTTTTTTACCAACTTCACTTTAGCGGCACTTCGCTTTTACACTAATTGAACACGACAAAGTGATTTCTAAGAACGTATATACAAAACTACTTTATTTCTATAAAAATAACAACATTTTTAATACTGCGTAAAAAGTAAGCATCAAGTTTCTTTTCTTTCTCTGAGATTGCAACAATATAACTTAGTTTTAATGGATGGAATGTAATCTTCAACTCACTATTGCAATAATACTGTGACTACTTTTGTCAACTTTTGACAATATCAGAATACTATGTTGGCTCTGTATATAAATACTGTGACTTAATACAACCTAATCAACCTTATTACTGTACTTATACTGCGAAAGGTCTTGAATTTGAGTTTGCTCATAAAGGCGATAACTCTAGCACTTTGGTTATAAAATATAATATCTAATATAATATTTACAAGTATAAAAATATAAATCTTTGAATGAGCACGTGGTATGTAATGGCTATTGTATGGGAGAAATCGGGCGATTGCACGATTGAAGAAAGAATATTTTGTCCCACGACACAATTAAGGTAAGGAGACGCGGTTGTTAATAATGACGGCTAGTTAAAGCAAGCATTAGGTTTGACCAAAATGGGGGGGGGGGGGGGGGTCACACCGGCTGGCTAAGGCAAGTGTGATGGTTTTTGGCAATTTTTGGCAAGTTTTACGGCAGAGGATAACCCACTTTAGGCAAGATTTATGGCATAAAATATGGTTAATAAGTAAAATATACAAGTAAACTCTAAATCTAATACATATATTGTGAGTTAAGACCAACAGGCTTTGAGTTTTGAGGTTTTAAAATCTTTCATAAGATTTGGAGTTTTGACAAGATGGCTACCTTGTCATGTTTAAGCCTTATGACCTACTTAGTTTTTTTTGGTCTTCTTTAAGAGAAAGTTTTTGTTTATAAGTTTATTTAAGCTTCACAAAATTATCATTAATGGTAAAGCTAACTTTTATTAAAGTTTCAGACTCTGATCTCACTTGAAAATACTAAAATTCCTAAGTTAAAAAATTCCAATTTCGAAAGCACATGAACAAAGGACAATGGCGAATTTCAAAATGGACAGCTTCTTCCCCAAATTATGTGACAAAGTTTTTGGCAGATATTTTCCGAAATACTTATCAGAAAGTTTTGCAAAATAGTTCAAAATTTTGCATTTAATTTAGGTCACAATAATTTTTATAGTCCCTTCAACAACAGGTACTATAAAGGGGGGATTGAGTTTTTTCAAATGAAGAAACTTTACTAAAGTTTTTAGAAATCAAACTTTCTGAAGGCAAAGTTTTGAACTCTGATTTTTCACATGAATCTGAATTTCAATGAAACATATTTACCTCACTCATGTTGCAAACGTATCTTCTCAACAGCGAAAGTTGTTTTCGATGATGGATGGCACGAAATAAGAATGATATTATGCGATTTAAATGCGGCTGGATTATCAGTCAGGCCTTCTTCTCCAAATTCAGTAATAGTAATAAAGTAGGTCAACCATGACACACCACATGTTTAAAATTTATGTAACTTTAAATTACAAATAAACTTGTTACCTGAACATGTAAAGACACATAAATATAACAAGGAAGCTGGTACTATGAATATACATGGATATTAATCTTTAAAACCCATAAATGTGAGTAAAAACACATATTTCTAATGTCTGCATGTAATTAATATGGGGCGTGTCATGTGACACTTCTGAAAATTATTCCTTGAGTTCTAAGTACAAAATAAATTGCACAATTACATATTAAATATACCATGAAATAGCTACAAACATGAGGCGGAACATACATACATATAAAATACATAAAAAGAACAAACTGTCATACCTGAAAATGTGTAAAAAATACAAAAATTAAGAAAATATTTTCCCTGGTTTTTTACATAAGAACTTACATGGTAAAATGTTATGTAGCAATTTATATTTACCCATACACACTTGAAAAGTTCAGTATAATCTTGAAGCTTACATAAATCAACCCATACCTTTTCCATGAATGGTTTTGATTTGATCTTGTCAATTATAATTCTATAAATGTCTTTTGAAGTAGTTTTTTTAGTCAGACACTGATATGTGTTACAAGTAACATTATAAATTTTTAATGACTGTTGTGTTGAAACTTTTGTCTTCTTGCTCTCTTGTGAGTTCATCCTGTTTGCAAAGTACGTGGGTATTGCATGTCTGATTTGACTATATTCCGACATCCAATTGATTTTATTAAAAAAGCCAGAATATAAAACGATACACGTTTTCTTTCCAAAAATTATAACCGCCTCAGTTTCTCAGCTCTCAATTTGTGATTTTCGACACCTCCAAACTGTCTACCAGAGTTTTTGGCTAAATACCATTGGCCTTGTTATTACTTAGAGAAGGGAAAATTCACTATGTTCACTATTTGGTATAATTACACAAATAGGCCTTTAATTAATATAAAGTCCTATCCAATTACATGGATTCCAGGCGTATTTTAAAATTCAGCAACTTCCCCAACCCTTGCCATTTCAGTCAAAATCCGCATGGCGTAGGCGTGAAGGCTTATCGAAGCCCATAATAAGGGGATTCCCCCAATAGCATTGGAGGGGACATTTGGTGCGACAGTACCCTCTCCCCACCCCCTTGAGCCAATATCTGTGGATTTTGTTCGTAAACTTAGGAGACTCGAAGGAAAAAAGAACAACGATAGAGGTGAAGACTGTTCTTGAAAAAATCCTGGGAACGGCCCTGTACAGGTAGATATGCTACCGAGTCATATAAAAATCATAGGCCAAGGGAAATGTAATAAGCTGTATATAGAAGAGATCAGACATGGTCCACAAGTATGATTTAAAATTTTTCAAAATTTTTTAGTCTTGGCACTAGTTCTCTTTACTGGTATCAAATTGTATTCCCAAATCCCTCCAAAATCTTCTTCAAAGTGTTTTTCAAACTTATATCATTGTTTTTTTCAAATCTTTATCTAAAAACTGCATATAATACTGCATATAAAACAACAACTATGGATATCTGCAATTGCCTGGCAAGCTGAAACTGATTTGGTTGGTTAATACAGAAATTGTCACTGCTGGAGGTCAGGGAGGTCAGCAGTGACCAGTCAGATCACTTGTTTACTAATGAACTTGCCAAGCAATTGCAGGTTTTCAGAAATTCTCTCTTTTAGACAGCATTATTCACTCTATATCATCTGACTGAGTTTCAATCTTAGGTAAGAGCTACAAACTATCAATTTTCTATCAACTCCCCATTGCTTTTTGAAAATAATACACTAAATATTGTTGAAATCTCCATCATAACAAGTGGTCTTAATCAGACTTGTTCACCTGTCTCTTCTTTGAATTAGAATAAAAATTTCAAGACTTATGGGACAACCCTCGTATACGGCTTACTATTACTTTACCCTTGGCCTATGATAAAAATACTCTACGCTTAGTTATTACCATAGGTTCTGGGCCGATATAAAGATGGCAGCACCAACAGAATCCAGTATTGATAAACACAGATCGATCACCATAGCCTATGGTTATTACTACTTTCTTTTCGAAGAAGGAAGTATTTGAGAAAAATGGCTGCAGTAGACGCATCAGCTTCTGAGGATCAACTAAAGCTCAGTTCTGATTATACAGTTGATATATTTACGAAACTTGGACAAGGTGTATTTGGAATTGTATACAGGTACAACTTTTTATTTGTTTTTTGTTAAAGTCGTGCAAAACATCTTGGTCTGGATGTGCCAGTGGTTATGTGTGCGTGTGTGTGTGTGGGTGTGGGTGGGGGTGGGGGGGGGGGGGTATTGAGGTCTAGGGACGTAAAATATACGTATATGGCCATTGTACAAGGCCCAGCAGAACATAAGCCAGTATGACATCCAAAAGACTGATTATTAAGGTATTATGATTATACCAGTTTATGATGTATAAATTTGCACTCTATAGAGTAACAGTTTGCAGTGGTTTCAAATATAAGAACCCCAAAACATGGTACCAAATAGATATAAGCTCCTCTCTAATTACACAACAGGTGGGGAGTTTTTTAACAGAAAGGTTTACTTAATTTCTTTTATATAATGATATGTATAATATGCAACAGTCTAATCATAGACGCATATAAATAATACATGCATGCATTAAGGTATTTGTGAAATAGATTGCTTTATATTATAATGAAACTGATTATAGGTTGTTGTTATTGATGCGCTGTTATTCCCAAGTTACACCATTTGAAGGGGAATCCCCTTTTCCTTATGACTAACATTTCCGCTTGTTTCCATTGCGAATAGATTTTTACCTATACAGCAATCAATACACCGGTCAACCCTAATGTCTGCAGGGCAGATGTCTAATTGACCCCCTCGATTTTCTTCAACAGTACTTTATACAGGTTATTTTTGTACCTCCGTAATTTTTTAGCTTTAGCGACTGATAAATGACACTTTTCGGCGTAAAAGTCAAGGTGATTGGGGGTAGGGGGCAAAGTCATGATAGTTGGAACTTGATGCCAATAAAATTGAAATATTTATAGTTACCTTGTTTCTAATACTGTATAAAATGCAAAGTGACGGTTATTGCTCTGTTTGATAGATAACCATTCTCTTTGGTAAGGATTAAAAGATGGATTGGATCGAGTGGATTGGAATCCTGTAAAAGGTGGATTGGATCGGGAATCTTCAAAATATGGAATTTCTTGAAGATTTTTTTCTATTGATCTTCCTCAAAAATTACTGGAAATTACTATTGATTACTGGAATACTGAGAAATGATCACTTTAGTTTAATTTTAGATAATCAGCATCAGATGAGTGCATCAGAACGAACTTGATACACCAGGGTGACGCTATAATGTTACCATCTGGTTTTGGTATATTATTTTCAATTATTACAATATTATGATTTCCTATGTAGATGAACTTTCTTAATATCTCAGTTATTGATGTCACTTTTTGACAAGTATTATCTATGCAAATGATCTAAATTCAATGAAAAGTTGTAAAAATATGAAAAAGATCAAGTAAATATTCTGTGAGTACTAAGAAATTGAAAATAGCATGTCAAAAATGCCCATACCAGAGCTCTGATATGAGACCTCAATACTGTTTGTACCATCATTTTCGCACGCTCGGTCTTCACTGCGTCCGATGGGAGCCGAGTGATGTCTGATAAATTCATCAGTAATATCCAAAATCCAATTCATTCGGGAGATGATATTGGTAGAATTAATACGGAGAAGTATTTTTGCTTGGAAATGGATTAATAAGTGGTTTTTACATTGATATCGGTTATTTTCACGTACTTCAGGTCTTTAATTCTAAAATACACACATAATGTAAGATCAATCCCTTACATATTCACGGCACTAGCAGAGGATACCCTAAAGTGCCTCAGGTAAAATTTTCAAAGAATTGGGACACCCGATAGATGTATTTATATGAATCGCCGCTTTATGCATTTCACACTCTTTCACACAAGAAACATACGAATGAATTTACTTGTATGCACCACCTGTTCAGCATAATATTTATTCGGGCTTTAAAGTATGGACATTAACTATTTTGAAGATTCCAAATCCAATCCACCTTTTACATGAATCCAATCCACTCGATCCAATCCACCTTTTAATCCCTACCTTCTCTTTCCAATATGATTTATATTTTATTTCATGAGAATCGAGCCATTATTGACTATAATTTATAATAAGGTAAAATAACAGTTCACGAACAAGTATTTGAGAATCGCGTTCACTTCACAATTTGAGGGAAACGTTTTTTTCTAAAAACTTCTTGAATACATTTGAATATTGTTTGTGACATGGTGTATACACGTTTCATACCGATGTCACATTCATGTAGTCATATAAATCTGTAGTCTTATGCTGTTATTTTTGTTATTTTTTCTTATTTGGATATTTATTTTTTCTTATTATCTTGCATACGACCGTGTATGCTAAGAAAATGATAAAAAATAAATATCCAAATAAGAACAAGGAATATCGAAGAATAGCATACAATTATGGTGCTAAAACTGCTTCTTTATTCGGTACATCAAATATTCCATAAATTCCAAATAAAACAAACAATTTACCAAACCTTTACCCAATTTATCGAATGTTTTTTATTTCATCGAATGTAATAATCTATACAATTTATATTCGCTAAATAGTTTCACTTGTTCTTTGTGTTGGCATTCACATTTGATATTTATGCATGTATTTGTGTGATGCAGCGAATCAATTTGTTTTCCTAATTAACGCACGTATAATTCAATTAATTATTTGTACATTCGGTATTTAAATTATTTATATTCGGTAAATACCGAATGCCACATTCGATAAATTTTATTATTTTTCGATACTTTACGAGACTTTCAGTCACGTGATATATTTGAACGATGTAGAATAGCTGCGCGGCCATTTTGCAAATCTCGAGGTCAAGTGACAAACTATCGAACAACAACGAAAGTTATCGAATATTACTTTATTGCATTCGGTAAATAGCAAATTAGCTTTCGGTAAAATGCATTAACTATGACATAGAAAAATAAACCATTTGGTAAACATACTGACATAGGCAAACTTATTTCGGTAGGGTTCAAATAGAAATTCAATATTGTGCATATAATGTGTTACTCTTAAGGAATACCATAGCAATTTATGCAAAAAACATTTTTAGCGAATGAAATATGTAATTTAATGCACATAGTATTAAGTGATTGGTTATTTTGAAAACTTAATTTGCTGTAACAAACATATAAACGTTTTTACCGAATGGAAAAACGATTTAGCGAATATGAATATTTCATATATCGAATATATTTGAATTTAATGAATAAAGAAGCAAAAATAATGCCATATACAATGGTCGGATTTATATGACTAGACTCATGCAACTGTTTTCATATTTTCAAATTTTAATTTTTTCTATCATGCACGTATAATACTCGTAACTTTTATAATCTAAATAATTTATGTACTATCTTAAAGGTGAAAATAAAGAAACATAAACATAAGCTATACAATTGTCATTCAATTGCAGGTTAAAGTGATCTTTATCGCATTCATGTTTACAATGATAAAATATAAATGCCAGTTTACCATTAACGTTTTAATTTATCATCAAAAGGGCGGGCCAATAGATCATATGATCTGACAAAATAAGCCAGATATGTTTTGTGAGTAATAATAGGCTCTATTACTCACCCAGATTCTAACCGTGTCTCAGATATTGGAAAAAAACATTTTTGTCCAAATCAATATTTCAATATTTCAGTAGTCTTACAACATTCATGACCAGAATATAAAGTTACGTCAAAAGTCCCAAATTCATGAATACCTAGTAGAATTTTACAATGCCACTATCTTCTCATTCCTGTCAAATCTTTTCTTAAACACGATACCGGAATAGCCTGACGACGGTAAAGTCAGATACCGTTGTCACAAATGGCGGACATAACCGTCGCTTCAACTCTTTAATCACTTGGTCCTCGTTCCATTGGACTTTATCGTCGCTAATTTTTTGCATTTATATATGCAATCCCAATTTCTATCAAATGGGGTCGTGAATCGCCACAATATAGCGTCTTCAATATCGTCAATGACAACGAAATCTGAGTTTGAAATAATTTACAAAGACAACGGCATATGGTAAGATGTGACAACGGACTATGGTGGATGTATCGTTGTCTTCACATATACCGTAATCGAAAATTACCGTTGACACCTCGATTTTACATCACATTTGACCCACACCTACCGTTTTCATTTATACAGTATCCGTTGTCCTTTGTCATATTCCGATCGGTAAAGTTAAAGCCTTTATTTCGATTGTAGAGCATAGTTAACTATATGATCAGTAGAAAAACACTTTGAGTGATTGCTGTACCAAAGGAATTTAATCTAGTCGCTCTATTAAACATACAGTTCATGAAAATCCAATTGAAGCGACGGTTATGTCCGCCATTTGTGACAACGGTATCTGACTTTACCGTTGTCAGGCTATTCCGGTGTGATATTCTGTCATGCATTGTTTCCAATAATTGACCTCTTCATTTCTCATTGAAGGGGTGAACGTAAAGATGGAACTCCAGTCGCAATCAAACAGGTCACAATTGAATCGATGGAAGAAACGGGTGATGGCATGGAAGAAATCAAAATTCTTCAAAAGCTACCCGTCCATGTCAACCTTGTGAAATTTCACGATTTTTTCTTCGTGAAAAAGTCCTTCTGGCTCGTGATGGAGTTTTGCGATGGTGGAGATCTCCAAAAACATTTCAAAAAATTAGAGGGCAAAATAGATGTCGCTGTAAAAGTGGATTTCATGCGTCAGCTGGCAAGTGGTGTGAAGCATCTTCATGACTGTAGACTTGTCCATCGTGATTTGAAACCAGCAAATGCGTTGATAAGTTTAGCAACTGGGCAGACAGTTTTAAAGGTACTTTTGACACAAGAACAACCTTGGGTAATAAAGGAAAAGGTTTGAAAGGCTAAACAGATATGAAGAGTACATTTTCGAAAATTCAAATAGTTATCATTCCAGGTAAATTAAACACGAGAGTATTATGCAATTTTGTGAAATACAGTTTTTATGTCACCACCAAAAGGTGGTGACATATTGTTATAGTCTCCGTTTTTGTGACGGCGGTTGGTGATTGGCAGTTGGGGATCGGCGGTTAGCGATCGGAGGTTAGCGTCTGTAACAAATGGTGGTGATATTTTGCATATTATTGCCTTGTCTCCCTTTGTTACGGACTAAAACTTTTTTAAAGTTGACAGATTTTGGGATATCAAAACTAGCTGAGGGCAAAGCCAACTCCATGCAGACATATATGATGAGCACGTCTTTGGGGACACCATGCTTCATGGCGCCAGAAATCTTCAAACAAGAGAAATATACTTCAAGTGTTGATGTATTTTCACTTGGTTTGATTTATAGTGGAATGCTAGATTCTGAAAAGAATAAGGGAGAGATCCTTCCCCTGCCAGGTTTGAATTGATGCTTATCCTTTTAAAAATTCCTGTCCAATCATACAGCTACAATAAACCATTTTTTATAATGCAAATGACGTTTTCACTCTGTTCCATTGAGGCAGGGTTAGCTTTACCACCTCAAGAATATTTAATTCCCCCTTTCACCCATCATTCAAGTACCAATATCGCACCAAGGGACATTTCAATAATTCATCACAATTCGTGTAAAATATCAGAAAATAGTTATAGATACAAGTACTACTCATACAAGATAAGTCAATAAGTATTTCAGATGTTAGTAAGACATTTGGGTTTGTTTCATTACCAGCTGGGCCTATGATGATGCCAATGCCGATTGGGATGCTTCTAGCTCAACCTGGATCTAATGTGAAGGTTTCACCGATAGTGAGTAGTGATCCTGAAATTGTCAAAGCTGTAAAGGGTGTTATACATAAAATGGTTGGGGCGAATGCTGGACAGAGGATGTCATCTACAGAAGTAAAGAAACGCATGGAAAAATTGTACGGTAATGAAGTGATTATTGGATATTTTTAATCGTAACACATTATGTAATGGATAAACCATGAGTACTGGGTATTAGGTGAAATAATGGCAAAGGACCGAAGGCTATTGATGGAAACTATCAAAATCTGTTAATCCTCTTTTTGCCACACTGGTTTTTTGATAGCTTGCCAAGCGTTCATTCTTAAAAACAATAGAAAAGGAATGTACTCTTCTTTTGTTACAACTGTACATTCTTTACAATGAACCGCTGCTCATTTTATTGTATTGGTACCAAAGTGCGGTTAAAAAATGCAATTTTTGGCCCATCTTCATGTATATGGTCACGCACGCTCGTATTAATTTATTGTTAATTTAGATTCAGTAAAAGAAGACATTCCTCCACCTACCATGCCATCACCACAAAGAACAACAGGTACGTCCATCGGATATGCTAAGCAAGCTCTTTGGTTATTTTCTTTGTTCATAATATCATACTATTAACATACATCCTAAAACATACATACATTTTACAAGCAATGGATCAAATAGAGTAGGCTAAGTATGTAATTATTTAGATTTCCTGTACTTTGACTTCAATAAGTTTCAGTAACATACTTGATATTGCATGAGGAATAGCTTCATCGAACTATTTTACATTCAATATTATATATTATAGAGAAAATAACTTGGTCAACTAGACTTCATATTTATATACACTTTGATCTAGATTCATCAAAAAAGGACATACCAGCAAGAGATTTACCAATTCCACCACGAAAATCACCATCACTGTCAGGTTTGTTCTTTTTACAATAGAGATATCTTTAGTTTACATATTATTTCTTTGCATTTTATGAAAGTTATATTACTGTATATTTAAAGCTATTACAAACCATAAATATGAATTTTATGATTTCTGTCAGTGGTCTGAAGGGTACCATCTAAAGTCACTGAGCCGTGGCGTAAAATGGGGAAAATTGAATTTGAATATACTTCATCAAGATTTGATTTACATCTCTCTGCACTATTCTTTTTCAAACTAATTGATTCATAAAAGGGTGTTTTAACAACTTTCTGTCGAAATGATCTTACAAAGCTTCAGTTGACAACAATCTTCGAATTCTTGAAAGCAGCTACCTGTATCCCTGAAGCTATTCCGTCCATGTCCATTCTTGAAAGCAGCTACCTGTATCCCTGCAACTATTCCGTCCATTTCCATTCTTGAAAGCAGCTACCTGTATCCCTGAAGCTATTCCGTCCATTTCCATTCTTGAAAGCAGCTACCTGTATCCCTGCAGCTATTCCGTCCATTTCCATTCTTGAAAGCAGCTACCTGTATCCCTGAAGCTATTCCGTCCATTTCCATTCTTGAAAGCAGCTACCTGTATCCCTGAAGCTATTCCGTCCATTTCCATTCTTAAAAGCAGCTACCTGTATCCCTGAAGCTATTCCGTCCATTTCCATTCTTAAAAAACAGGTACCTGTATCCCTGAAGCTATTCCGTCCACTTCCATTCTTGAAAGCAGCTACCTGTATCCCTGAAGCTATTCCGTCTATTTCCATTCTTGAAAACAGCTACCTGTATCCCTGAAGCTATTCCGTCTATTTCCATTCTTGAATGCAGCTACCTTATCCCTGAAGCTATTCCGTCCATTTCCATTCTTGAATGCAGCTACCTTATCCCTGAAGCTATTCCGTCCATTTCCATTCTTGAATGCAGCTACCTTATCCCTGAAGCTATTCCGTCCATTTCCACGACTCACTTGCTGTTAGGCAAGCCAAGGACATGGATGACTGCCTCTCTATTTGCATATTTTTAATTTTTCAGGCTTTACATCTTCAGGAAAAAGTGATGATGTCTCTTCAACTGTAATTCATCTAGTTGTTCACAGGCATACAAAATGCAGAGGATGTAAACAGGCCCCAATAACAGGCATCAGATACTTGTGTTATAAACACAGAGATTGCAGCTACTGTGCTTCTTGCAGACGTCAAGGAAAGCAGACAAATGCTAACTGTAAATTTTGGAAGATAGCCGAAATAAAACAATGGACAAAAGAAAGTGAGTATTTTACATTATAAAATGAATAGTATTTTCCTTTCTTTATTGACCTTACACCATCTTTCTCTGTAATATATTTACATTATAAACAGCATCTTCTTCAATTAATTCTACATCCTTTTATTCTTACTTTTGTTTTCTGTCTAAAAATATCATTTTGATTAACCGTAGTTACTTGGAACAATGGCCACCATCTGCTTAGTGTGTAATTTTACGTCTTGTAATGAATTTTGCATTTCATTGGGTACCAAGTCACTATATCTAGTAATCCATTGCCAATAGTACACTCCTGTTATATATTCATGACGATATCACTCAGCAACTTGCATTTAGCGCAAATTGTTCTCCGAGTAATTCTCCCTTTCGCGGTTCGCTCTTTGAATCAGAACGTTCGCAAATATGTACTGAAAAAGCAATCAAAAAGGACAACATTTGATTGGTCAATATTTTCCCACTGTGCATTTCGCGTAGCTATTTGCGTGACCCGAAAGTTCTAAATCAAACTAATTACGCAATTTTGTTTTTACACCCGCACGCTAAATAAAACAGTGACACCATCGGAAGTATTCTTCGTTGTCATTGCTTTAATAGTCAGTATACCGAGTTTAATCAATAAAAGATTGTACAATGACCAACAAATTCGGAAACGAGTATTATAGATTTGCTTTCGGACCACTGAACAGATTGACCTAGATAATAGCGATGCGTCTTCTTTGGTCTACTGCTCAGTTGTTTGTGGGTTTTCAATGTAACTCTATAATGTAATTTGAAGATGAATACTTTTATTCAGTTGTTGCATCGATGTTGCAGTTTGTAGTGCTGTAAGATTGGCAGGAAAGTATTGAAAGTCGAATGGAATTGTTTTTTCCAAAATGGCGACTAGTCAACTGATCACGTGACCTTCTCTTCCGGAATATTGAATCAATACAATGAAAAAAATAGCTGTTATATTAAGACCAATAAGAGATCAATCGTTTCTAATAATTTTTTCTGTACTCTTGTACGGGAATATGAACGAATATATCGTTTGAAAAATAGGTGTGAAAATCCCCATGTTAAACCTATGAGGGAAACAAGGAAGTATAAATTTGTTCCTCCGCGAACTGCATCATGGGAAATATTTTGACCTTATAAGGAAAGATTTTAGCGTCTCCTCTTTTGAAGAGGGAACAACGATTTCGAGGGTCACAGGTTGATATGATTCACATTAATGCTTCTACATTAGGCTGCACTGTACTTGTCAGATGTAAAGTTTTATTCATGCTACTTAAAACAACTTTATACGATTTCATTTAAGATAAAGGTCTGGTTGGTAAAGGGACATTGCATCATGGGATGCGCTGTAGTGAATGTGAGGGTCCTATAGTTGGAGAACTAAGCACATGTACGACTTGTGATGACTACAATCTTTGTGAAATATGTGCAGTTACTTGTACCCACAAGAAACATAGATTTATAACAACCAGTGAGCCACAAAAAGCGATCCCAAGACCAGGTACTTTTAAAGTTTATCTTACTATTTCAATATAATCATCGTCTAAGAGTAACGGTAATTTCCCCTTTCCCTATCTTTATATTTCTGAATATTTTCTAAATATCTTGATATTCGTATGAAGGAAAGATAATGATAATAGATAAAAACAAAACGTGTAATAAATAAATACTATATTGTTTTTCTGATAAAAGACAATGAGAAAAGTCTTGAAAAGCACCCAGGTGTAACCTGCGATGGATGCATGCATGATATATATGGTAAACGCTACAAATGCGCCGAGTGTGAGAACTATGATCTATGCAGCGTCTGTGAAGGTGTGGGACTCCACGAAAATCATAAATTCTGTGAGTTTTAGAATTAATATGATTTCCAGTTTTTCAAAATGTTGTATTATGTGTAACCGTGCATATTTCAATTTGTTCATGTACTTTCATTAAGTGGTGATTGACAGACCTGATGCAAGAGGATCAACGGCTGAGGGAATCGGCTATCAAGTTATTCGCGAAATGGTCGAGCAACAGATGAAACAAAAAGAAGCAGAGAAAAAGGTGCCTTTAAAAATAGGGGTTTTAAACTGTATACAAGTTTGAATTGCAAACTTTACTTTACAGCTTTCTTTCGCATGTATAAGAATTATTACTAGAGTTTAACCAAATTCTCCTTTAAAGGCAGCTGAGAGTGATGACGATGGAGTTCGTAAACTTGCAATGCTGATGGCTATGCTTTCGGGCGATGAGAGCGGAGATGTAAGCAAGTTATAAAATTAAGCTCCGTAAATTTATTGATAATTTACATTTAAGAATTCCTTTGAAATTCAGGTTTTGTAATTAAGTTCTGTTCCTTGTTTAAATGTGTTTTAACTTATTACCTTTTCAGAATTTACACTCGAATGAAATAGCTGTATTTGTAGTTTTCAGCTGGGGATGTTGTTTACATGACTACAAATCTGGAAAAAGCAAAGGAATTACAAGAAGGACACGGCGGTTGGAATGATCTTATGGCTCGTGTAAGTTTTTCAATTTCCATTGATTGCACTCCCTAAAATTGATTTAGGTACTAGAACCTTTATTGCGTTTTCATACGTTGCACCGCACGTTTTCTACATTAACTCTACATGGGATTCCTTTTTAGTGCCTTGGGAAAAGAGGAGTTGTATCGGGAATAGTGTCTCACGTTCGAAAAGTCAAATTTGATGATGGAATGGAGTAAGTCATTATATTGTTTGTTACTATTTCATCCAAATGATATATGTGAAATGCGTGAGTAAAAATCGAATCGGGGATTTCAATTTTTAATTCTTTTACAGAAATATTAGAAAATCATCCTGTAATATATATTACCAGAAATAATCTTCGATAAAGCGGAATATCCGTAGGAATAGTTTGCTTTTCACCAAATAATTTGTTGCTTTCGCTAAATTGAGAGACAAGACTGTTAACAGTTTAGATAAAATGGCACATTCAATCTTGCACGTGTGTTTGGAATTTTGTGAAGAGAGTTTATGATTCTATAGGTGGTCGATAAATCCAGCATTGTTATCAAAGAATCCAGACAAGGGTGCAGCATCTGGGAAGTTCAACAGGTATGATATAGTGGTGATCAACTGTGATGCGCGCACACTGCAACAGAAACAAATAGGACATGGTGGGTGTAATGAGGAAATGGTAAAGGTGAGAATTGAAGACAGATTGTCAAAATACTTATCACTCCATATTTTATGATTTCTTAAGGAGATTCCTTAACAGGGATTCCAAGTATTCAAAATATTTTTATCGCTCCCTTGGGTGCTATATTGTGATCAGTTTGCCGGGTGGATGGGCGTCCCGAGAAACCTTGTCTACAGCTTTCAAGCCAAAACGTTTGAGGGAGGTTTGAGGTTTCCAGCCATACCGTTTCAGAAATTCATCTGACATTTTTAGGGTTGTTTCTACAAATGAAAATTTAGAAGTGATTAGTTTTTGGCCATTCTGGATAAATAACAAGGCGACCATTTTGGATTTTCCGTCCTTAAATCTTGTCTGTGAGGGCTTGTCTACAGGTTTCCAGCTAAACAGTTTCAGGGATCCATCTACGTATGAAGCTTTAGAACAGATTAGTTTTTGGTCATTCTTGGTAAATGTTAAGGCGGCAATTTTGGATTTTCCGTCCTAAAATCATGTCTGCCGAGGCTTGTCTACAGGTTTCCAGCCAAACCGTTTCATGGATTCATCTGACATTTTCAGGGATGTTTGCGTGTATAAAAGTTTACAACTGATTACTTTTTGGACAGCCACCTTGGATTTTCCGTCCTAAAATATGTACTAGGCTTGTCTACAGGTTTCTAGCTAAACTGTTTCATGGATTGATCTAAAATTTTCAGAGATGTTTCTACTATTAAGTTTAGAACTGATTACTCTTTGGGCATTCTGGGTAAATGCTTAGGCGGCCATTTGGGATTTTATTTATCATCTGTTTAAGGGTGGTATATTTTTCACCATGTGTCTTGCTGATTCTGATATTTTCTTCTAAGTTATGTAATGCTCTTAGCTTCGATATTTTCCCTTTAACACATATGCATACCTATTTTGTTATGTTTTAGGCTATTGGTGTGAGAGGAATTGTGCATGGGGTAGATAGTGATAATGATGTTGTTGTGGAGTTCATTAACAGCGACAAGTAGGTTTTGTCAAATATTGCTTGTCATCTTTAACTTTAACAAGATGTACTTATTTAATGGTAATTTTAATTTGTGTAATCTTTTTTTGAACGCATAGGTGGTGTCTGAATCCAGAACTTCTGACTAAGGTGGATACATCTAAAGAAGAAATTGAGTCGGGATCTTTGGTCATTATCATAGATGACTATGAAAAAGTTAAACAACTCCAGCAAGGACATGGCGGTTGGGTTTCAAAGATGATCGAGGTAAAAACTAAAAGTTGATTAATGGACTAAAAGTGTATCTGTATCTGAAAGTGTACCTACATAGTGTTAATTTACACAAATTTATTTTATAAAACTAAATGCCAATCAATTTAGAGATTCTGTGGATGTGTCTTTTATGGCTCAATCTCTTTTGAAATATGAACCCGAGGGATGTCATGAAGTATGTTAAGTGGCAAGTCCATTAGTTTGCTAGTTCGCTTCACACTTGTATCTACTGGAATTACTGTTTTATAAGCTCTCAGTGAAATGATCGATGTTCCCATATGGCCTTATGTGTGGTTGTTGCAAATTTTATACTACTCACTATTTTTTCGTATATAGTTAAACTACTCATATACATCAAAGATAATATCTATACACTTTTACAACTTCTAGTTTATAAGCAATATTTGGTTCACACAAAAAACTTTGGTTTTATCAATCAAATGAATATTTCATTCTTCATATGCACTGGTAAGGTCCAGCCCTGGGGTACACCTCAAGATCGCGAGCGGGTTCCACCTGAAAACGCGAGCAATAAAAAGGACTGAAAAGAGGGATTGTCTTTTGTTCACTTAATCGTATGCTATAAAGACGAAAAGGTTAACTGCTGCAAAAACGTATCATTAGCTGTCGTTCTGGGTCTCGTTATTTGAAAATTGGAGAGAGAAAGTATCATCTTAAATATTTATTTATATATTTCCATATGTTATAGCAGAATCATATTTCATGTCATTTTTGGTTAACAATGTCTGTTTTTAAAGTAATGCTGGAGTATACTAGAACAGTAATGTGTATTCTTACCCTTTTGGTCCATTTTACCTGGTGAAACAAAGAATCACGACTACGCTCGCGTTTTCAGTGGGAACTTGCTCGCGATAATTCGCCACGGGGCTTGGATCATACCCGTGACATATCATATGTCTATTCATTTCAAATTGTACATAGGCCTTGGGACACGCTGCTGTCGTTAAGAGAGTCGCCGGGCAACGTGTTGAGGTAGACTTCAATGGTAATGAGTGGGTTTTCAACAAGAAAGCTGTGGTACTCGTAGCATCAGGAGGTATTCTTTCTTTTTTAAAGATGGACATCTGTCGTCGCTCAATCTGTTGAAATTTGAAGAAATGCGAACCCTCTAAAGATACACGCACACTAAAGTTTTGACCTTATAATATGGCTTTTTTCTAATGACTATGATAAAATCACCTATTTTGCATAATAGCCTTGTAAATAACAATTTATATTATGACATTGAAACACTGTCATCCAATTTCGATTAACCATTTTCGCAGTAAGTTTTACTATTATCTGTCATTACAATGCCCATGCCTACTTTAAATCATATCCACTTTTTATGAACATGTTAGGTTAGAACTTAATTTTTAGATATTTTTTTAATGTTTGGATGATTTTATTTCATCAAACAATATCTTTAATTAAGTACATATACGTGGCATATCGATAGGAGAAAGGAATAATCCTTTAAGATAGAACTAGAATCCTCACACGTTCCCTTTGCATTTTTCAGAAGAAATGATCAAAGTGGTGGGCGGTGGCCGGTAAGTTTTTATGTCCTCTCAGTTTTACGGTCATTATATTTCAACTTGTTTTGACCAGTCATGTCACGTATATAAGCACGTTAACGTTATCAGCATCTAATACAAATGATATATTTCAATTTAAGAATTTTAGAATTATTGAAGAAACACAAACACATTCCATGTACAAGATGTATCCACGTTCTCATAATACTGTGACCTACAGAGCCAAAAAATACTACCCGGATAAATGTTAATCATAACTTTGACGGATTCAAAGTCATATATGGCACAATTAAACCTTGTTTCCAGCTTCACTTGTCTCACCCAAATGGTCACGTGACCTATATGTTGACTTATCGCACTTGCGCGCCACCTATATCAGGACTCCAATCACGCGAAACACCATTGTATGGCCGTTTTATAAAGCATGGCTCCAAAAGCCGATCGCTCCTCTTATGAACACCCCATCTTTGGTACTATCTCAAAAGATAATGTCGATACAAACAACCCTAGAAGCATCGAAGAGTTGAAACAAAAGATTCGAGGGAAGATGGAAGTTATTACACAAATATGTCTGTGAACGTGTTGTGAACAACTTCGCCGGACGAGTTCAAGTATTTGCTCCAGGGGACGAGGCCAGCATTTGGAACACATTTTGTAAAATGGCCATACAATCGCGACCATTGGGAACGGACCCATGAAACTTCGTGGAATACAAGAACATTGAACAGGGCTTAATCGTGCTGAAAATGACTTTGAAGTTTAAACCCATGCTGAAAGACGGATTCAAACATGACCGTGCTCTAATTGAATTTCTCAACCAATCAGAATGCAGCATAGCCAATATAGAACGTTCTCTAATTCTCCATAGATGCACGACCGTGCTCTATCCAATCATCCGGGAATCTACGTATTGTATTTGCATTGTGACGTCACACCTGGGAATGGCGAAAATAACAGCGAGCTCGAGTTTGGTGTATCTCATCATGGACGTATATCATCATGTAGCTCCAATCCCCAATTCTCTGAACAATGTTTTCATTTTTTATATGTTTGAATCGGAATAAATAATGATAGGCCATTCAATATGGTGAAATTCAGCACTCGTTGGACAGAATGTCAGTACAAATGCACTCACCTTCGGTTCGTGCTTTGTACGACATTCTGTCCAACTCGTGCTGAATTTCACCATATTGAATGGCCTATCATTATTTATTCCTTAAGTCATGAACATTTTGTTGGGTCATTTTTTGGCTCACCCTGTAATTCAAATAACGTGGCTAAATCGCATGAAATAATGGATATAATATACTTTAAATGTATCATTTGGAGTAAACCCCAAGGCCCTAAATATCGCGAGCAGCTCACGATATACTAGGGACGCAGATTTAATCCCTCATGAGCCAAGGTAACATGAAATACGTTCACGTTTTCAGAGCCAGGCAAAGGCAAGAACTCCATGGTATCGCAGGAATGCAAGCGTTACATATGATGGCGCAACTGGAAGCCATGAAACAAGCAGGAGGCTTAGAGGGGAACGTTTGCATCATATCATAATATGGTTGCAAAGTGTGACACTGCCCATTCGTAGCGTTTGACTAGCTTCTTAAAAGATAGCTTCGTCTACTTCATTACTTTAGGACCAACCTCTACGCTCTGGGTATGCGCACATATTTTCTGACAAGCAGATGTACATTAAGATGCATTGACACGCTGGCAGGAAATACATTAAGAGGAGCAAAAATCGTAATATTCAGAATATGCAACCCTGATATAACCTTATTGGATACTCTTACTCTCATTGCCCCCTTTTCTACCCGTGACGAAGCTGTTAGAGATTATACTACACAACCATCTGTAAGCTTATAGTTGTAACCTTAAGTTGAAGGAATTATAAGCGACAGAGGGTGTAAATATTGGGACTTTTTAATTCTTCCTTTACTATCCTCGTTCTTTAAAAACTTTTTTTAGAGGTAATTGAAGATTTAAGATGCGAAAAATGTCCAGATTCATTGGTCATTGATTAGAAAATGGGACATCCCATTACATCTTTTGACAGATAAAGTAAAGGATTATCCTAAACTGTAGTTATGACGTGCACGGACCCGGGGACAATTCGGGAAATGCGGGCTAATTTCAGCTTTAAGCCTTATTAAAAAGCTAACTATGTGTTTTATATATCATTTTGAAGTATTTTTTATTCACAATTCAGTGAAACTATACTTTTTCCTTGAAAAGTTTGATGCGATCTTATATTTTTAAAGTTAAATATAACCCGACATCGTCAAATACGCTGTATTATCATTATATCTTTATTTTCCCAAGATTTCGAGACTTGAAAAATGTTCGCATCGTTTTTTACCACAAATTTCATACATATCAATTTTACTAACGCCCCAAGTAGATTTCCCGACCGTTTTTCAAAATTCAAAAATATTTTAGAAATACTCTCCTGAGATTTTGCTACCCTGTGAATTTTATCATGATTTGATAAGGATAAAGTATTTTATTTTTAGGTCGACTTAACTTGAAAAAATGTGACACTCGTCGTTTTTGACGTTGTAAGGCTGTTTGCGCCCTATACTCACCCCGGAACAGCCCGACAACGGTAAAGTCAGATACCGTTGTCACAAATGACGAACATAACCGTCGCTTCAATTAGATTTTCATGAACTGTATGTTTAATAGAGCACCTAGACTAAATTCCTTTGGAACAACAATCAATCAAAGTGTCTTGATACTCGTTGTACAGTTAATAATGTTCTAACATCGAAATAAAGTCTTTAATTTAACCGATCAAAATGAGATACGGGACAATGGACACTGTTATTATTACCATATGCCGTTGTCTTTCTAAATTACTCAAATTCAGATTCCGTTGTCATTGACGATATCGAAGAGGTTTCATATGAAACATCATCACAAGAGCTTAATACATGCCCAGAATTAGCGACGATAAAACCCCATAAAATGAGGACCAAGTGATTAAACAGTTAAACAGACGGTTATGTCCGCCATTTGTGACAACGGTATCTGAATTTACCGTTGTCAGGCTATTCCGGTGTGATACTGCTCATTGTTTTGTTTTGGTATTTTGACGCAAAAATATTACTAGATAATTGTCCCAAGTTTCGTGCGACGTGTAAGTAACTTATCTTAAAAAATATTGTACAATTGTAACACTTTTTCGAAACCTAGTATCAATCTCTAGTCTCTTTCCCTTCTAATCACTTTGAAGTGTGACTGTAAATGTTGTCATTTTGTTAACGTCATGCGAGTTCATTCATTTGGAAAGGTGTGCTTTAATCAAATTTAACATGTACATAAAAATCAGGTAAAAGTAGTATAACCGATTTTTTTCGATGATTGCACATGTACAGCTTTTAAAAATGCTGTTGATAATTACTATTGTTAGTACCTCAGTTGAAATACTCGATTTTGATTGGTCAACGAGCGGTGAATAATTTTAACTGTACACCGCGCAATGCATTGCCGGTGAATAATATTCCCAGCATTCCACTAAAATGACGTTATTATCAGACGATAAAATGGCCGCCGCTAGCACTAGCCGTTTCAAAAATGTTGAAGATGAGGATATTATTAGTCTCTTAGAGAGTAAAGACAGTCAAAATACGAAGAAAAATCTAAAACTTTGTACAAAGCTTTTAGTGGACTTCGCCCAGGAGAGTAATTTGACTCCATTGAGTGAACTTACTGCCGATATACTGAAATACAACATGAACGTCTCGAGGGTCTGGATCCAACTTCAAGTCAACTTCAAGGGTCAGAAAAATCTAAGATATTCTTCGGACTAACAAAACAATTATAGACCTCTCCATTCGGTTTACTGTCAAAAGTATATCCCTCGACTGTAAACCTCGACCTACGGTCTCGGTTTACAGTCTCGGGATATAATTTTGACAGTAAACCTCTGGAGAGGTCAATAATTGTATATTGTAAAATAATAAAATAAAAACGACACGAGCAAGTCGTACACGTTGTATAGTTAAAATGTCAATAAAGGATTCGAACACTATTCCAATAGCTTTTGTAGACAATCCCAATTGAAAAAAGCCTATGGAAATCATCTCCAATTATCACCTAACTTACTATTGATAATTAGTTGAAAGTTAGGTGTAAAAATTCACATGCAAATGAGCTAATTATCAACTTAATTAACGCTTAATTATCAACTTAATTAACGCTTAATTTGCAACTTAATTAACGATTAACTACCATCAATATACAAATGAGCAATATATTGGTCGATTGTCACTGATTTACGTAAATTAGTTGTAAGTTAGTTGTAAGTTTGATGTAAGTTAATCTCTAATTATCACCTAACTTACTATTGATAATTAGTTGAAAGTTAGGTTTAAGTCAGATTTGTGACTTCTCAAAAATGACTCGCTTCTTTTTTGTTTCCCTTCACTCGGAGATTTTTGCTTCATCTTGAACTATTTTGTGACGGAATATTCATCTTAATTAGGATCTTTCAGAACAGACAACATTGAACTTGAACTATTGAAATTTCACAGCAAGAGGAGGGAAAACCCCATGATTCAATTGATGACATACGATTTCCTCCTTCGCACACCTCCTTTTGTCGAAAACGTACCCTCCATCTTGGTTTTCAAAGTTTTCAAATTGACCTAGTTTTAAACCAATCAACGATCGACTCGCTAAACCAATCAGCGACGATGTCATCTCAATACAGATTCACATTATAAGCGTATGTCATATTTGAACCCTGGGGTTTCTCCCCCTCTTTTTTAAAGCTATTCTATTTTGCAAATTTTTAAGATTCATGAAAAGCATGTGAAAACATCATTATTGCCATCAACAACTAAAATCAGAACACAAACATTAGACTATAATGTTACATAATAAGGACGTAACAGATATAATCAAAAATATGTTTTGAAATGTCTTTGATCTAACAATCATTATTTAGAAGAGCACATTTGGATTACTTGAGAAATATAGGTAACCCATGTTAGTACCTAAATTGCATTCTAGGATTAATATTATATGATCTGATTCAAAAAGATTTTCAAATTCATAAACATTTCAGACAGAAGTGTGAATAAGATTTAACATACATTGTATTCATGTTCTACATACCCTTATAATAATGTTGACCAAATTTCATGGTAGTATACACACCATTCACGTTGTAATTCTCAAATTTATGAGAGAAATATCTCTCACATGTTTTCTTTTTCCACCATCTTGAAATTAAATTTAGGGGGTTTGTATTTCTAAATCATGGGCCTAATTTACGACTAATTATAATTATAATCATCCTATATGTTAACTATCAACCAATAATCTACTTCAGAACAAAAACGTTTTAATTTACCACTTACTATCACCCTCAAACATTTCATATCTTAATTATCAACTAAAAATCATAAATCAGCATTATTGTAAGTTAATTTACGTTGAACTTGCTACTGATAATTAGGCCATAATTATCAGTGATTTAATTAACGCTTAACTTTAATTCCAATTGCCAGCAAAATTGTTGATAATTAGTTGTAAATTAGTTGGTAATAAGTTGGTAATTAGTTTTATTTTTCAATTGGAAGTAATCAATCACTTAGAAACAGTCGATTTACTGTTTCGAACAATCCTGAGTCGAGATTTATAATATTTTCGAATTTACTCTCAAATCGTCCCTATCTATTATTTACCCCCTCCCCCAGTCACACCAAACTGGTTCTCACTACATTATTGAAAATGTTACTGACTCAACCTGTCTGCGTTTTAAAGAACTTTTTTTCAAATTTCGTTGACGTTCTTGTTCGAAGACAGACATAACTAAAGTAATAAGACCAGTCGACCATCTTTTATATGACAGAAATATTGACACCCTAAATCTGAGCAGAAAAAGGTGATCCTAGCAGAGAGAGGGAATTCAGGTCCTACTGGATCTGCAGCTGATCCTGAAACTTTGTCTCCATATGTTCAAACAGGCCAGTCCTTAGATTAGAGTAGTACAGGCAATTTTCTTGTATTCGAGTCAATTTGTATAATCGGAACAAGCTCCCAGCAGATTAATGTGTTCACAGATTAAAAATAGAAATCACATAAGCTTTTGTGGCAAAAACACCGAAATCTCAAATAATTAATATCATAAGACTCTACTGCAGGGAATAAGCCAATGCGAGTTAAACCATAAACTATCACTTGGTGTCTGGTTGAGGTGGAACTTCAGTGTCGATCGACTTTTTCTACAATTCAGATTTTGTGGAAAAAATCTAGGTGAACGATATACTTACTGTATGTTTAACGAAATTTGTGAAAGTTAGAAAGATTGGCCGTTTGGTTATTTCTAAAAAAATAGTTTAATTTTCTAACATTGCGTTCAATTGAAGAATTAATCTTTTCAATTAAAATAATTGCACAATTAGGATTTTCTTAAAGTCCCCATATAAAGTTTAAACCACTTTGGCGTATATTATAGTCTTACCCAATGTTATCAAAGTGTGATATGTGAAACTTTTTTTTAAAATTTCAAAAAGTGGTTTTTGAAGAACTTTGTTCAAAAATTTGCCACAATTCATAACAATGCATAGCATTCATCCTCGCATGTTTTTTGCCGGAAAAATTAAGAAAATCGGTTCATAAATAAGCGAGAAATGAACTCATCAGTGCATGAAAATGGTTCCGAGAACAATGCATTTCAAAATTTTAGTTCTCATAGAAACCAATGGTACAATGATATCTAAAACATAATATATTCTTCCTTTTAACCTGGTTAGACAATCAACATTGGTTTATTATTGAAGTCTAGCATATTTAGAAAAGATTGACATCGAAAAAAATTCGATTTTTTCAAAAAGTTTTTGCCACCTGAGTGACATCACTAATGTTGCAAAATATTTTTGATATGCTAAACATTGAAGTTGCCCATTAAATATGGCATTTTATTATTGAAATAGTGTGTCCTTTGTTCAATCTTTGCATTGGTGTTAAAAAGATAATCTTTTTTGAAATTCATTAAAAAATATTTGATGATCAAAAAATGTCAACTTCTTTTGAAAAATGGCGGGAAATTTGAATATTTGAAAAATGAAAAAGTTGAACTTGTAATTGTTGGTTTCAATGGGATTTCGCGATACCTGCTATCTTTCAAAGTGTATAATTTCAGTTCTAGAAAAGCTTTTACCATGATTTTAGCTTTATTTGAAAGATAATAGATTTCTCTCTAAAGCACCGAATTCGAAGCATTTTTTGGCATCAACAATTTTTTTGTGAAAGAATATTGACAATTTATCATAAAATGTAAAAAAATACTCCCTAGGTCTCGTTGACCTCGATTTGACCTATGTTGACCGACTTAAAGAAAACAATACTAACGAAGTAATTGAATAAGGTTTACAACAATAAAATATCGCAGAGGGGGGACTTAGTGTTATAAAAAATGGTTGCATGCATTAGAGTTAAAAATCGAAACGCAAAACCTATGTTAAATATAGTGTCAAGATGAAGGTTATAATGTAGGGGAACGCAGAAATATAGTCATTGAATGGGGTAATATTCGCTTGAAAATATCTTCTTCTTTTTTTTATCTTTCAATCTATCTTTATTTCTATTCAAAATATGTTTTACAGTGCAAATCTACATAATTGCATTAAAATGATGCATTTTAATTTCAATTCAATTTCAATTCAATTCAATTATTTATTTCATAATTCTTATATAATATACACAATAAAAACAAGCCGCTAGACACCCTAGTGGGTATATGTTGCGGTTTAACAGAAATCATTAAAATGACAACTAGACTACATATAAAAGAAAACACTTATATTATGTTACATGTAGGTATATAAAAATGGTATTAACAATTAATCTAAGGATGTACAATCTTTACAATAGTTGACAAATATGATATACCACATTTCATTAAGCCATTCATTAAAATGTTTGTAGTCAATGTTTCGTGTTTTATATCCAAAAATCAATGTTTTAATATCTGTTAAATCTATTGTGATTTTAAAATGATTAAAAATGTACTCTTCTAATTGTTAAAGCACTCTGTTTACTCTTTTACAATCTAAGAATAAATGTTTATAATTTTCAACTACGTTACATAAATCACAGTTTTCAGTTTGACTTATTTGCCATCTTTTAAGTAAGAACTTACATGGTAAAATGTTATGTAGCAATTTATATTTACAATTTGCAGATTTTTTGTTCTGACACTTATACAAGAAATAGCTTGAAAATATCGATTTATACCCCAGAACTTGAATTTTGTGTTTTTTTCAATATTTTACCTTGTTGAATTTGAACTTCCGTAAAGGATGTCAGTATTGCACATGCGTGCTGACCAATATTCTACTGCGCAATAATTCTGCGCTTCAGTAGCATAACAATGCTATAACAAAACATGTTAGGCCTATGCTACTGAGTCATATATTAATCTACTCTTTGTCATAGTGTTTGCATGTAGTACAGTACTTTCGTTGTGGCGAAGAAGTGTTTTGGAAAATGGTCGTAGACGCACCAGAATCGCACCAGGATCAACTAAAGCTCAGTTTGGATTACACAGTTGATATATTTACGAAACTTGGACAAGGTGTATTTGGAATTGTATACAGGTGCTACAACATTTTATTCTTATGTGTGTGTGTGGGGGGGGGGGAGGTGAGGCACGTATAGTAGAATATACGTATGTGTCCATTGTAAAGAGACTCAGCAGAACATACATGTAATAATAATCGATATACCGGTTAACCCCAAGGAGGATTGGCAGCCATTATTCAAACTCGATACTCCGTTCCCTGCGGTGGGATAATTTAGTAAAAATATTTCCATAAGGTTTTCTTCGGACCAAGTATTTGTTAAAGAAATGGTCATTACGAATATTATGGTAATATTCAAACTTCGTTGGCAGTTCTAATCTTCAAAATACTAGTAATATTGTTAGCAAATTGGTGGTATTCAAATAATGGCTTTAATACTGAGATACGACTATTTGAAAAAATCCTAACAAAAGATTTTTTCTTTTATTGACTACTAATATTGACTATAGAAGAAAGTTCATATAGAAAGAAAAAATGACTTTATGCATTTACAGTTAGTTACTGAACAGAAGACTATTTAATAGCAAATATTTCTGGAGAATTTAATATTTATTTTGTCGTGGCGGACAATAAAACTAAGTCTCAATGACTATGAAAACGAGAACACTCTTAATAGCGATAGAAGTGACAGATGATAGGTATTGCAAAAAATAAAACGTGCTGAAATTCCGAAAACACAACTTGAAATAATAAGATATCAATTGTGCTCCGTTGGGTCTAAGATTAAATATTTCTTTGAAATTGCAATGCCTTGCAACAAAGAACACCCAGTGCTGAAAGTACCTATACTATATACTAGTTCTTTCATTAAATTGAAAATAAAAATAATCTGTAATCAATAACTTTGAAAACATTCTTCCTGTCACCGTTCTTCTGTTTTTTGTTATTATTAATAGAACGTCTGAAAGCATTTCAGTGGACGTGGAGCTATGTTTATGTGGTAATTGGACATATGGACCAGGCCATAGCCCTATCACGGTGTTATAGCATGACGGTTACGTCAAGGCGATTTGCAAATTTTTGCGGAAAAGAAAGTGCTTAATATCAGTTATAGAAAAGCTTTACCTTGATTTTAATTTTATTTGAGAGATAATAGATTATATATTTTAGGCAGCGTTGGATTTTTGGCACCCCAAAATTTTATTTTGAAAGAAAATTGACAATTTTATCACAAAATGTCAAAAATTTACACCCCCTTAGTCACGTTGACCCCGATGTGGCCTTTGTTGACAAACTTTAAAAAACAACGCTTTTCTGAAGAGTTAATTAGAAGGTTTGCAACAACAAAACATTAGGGCCTAATATTCTCTGTTGCTAACGATTGATTCACAAAACTTAAGGAAATGTGTTTACAGATTCTATGATCTGACAAAATGATCCAGAGATGTTTCAAAAGTAACAGACTCTATTACTCAACCAAATTCTAAGTGTGTCACAGATATGCAAGAAATCCTTTTATCCAACCCAGTATGTTTCTTTTGAACAACATTCATGACCAGAATAGGGTGTCATCCACAATTCTTTTCAATGCCAAAGATCTTCATAACATTGCAAATGACAATGAGGATGTCAATCAATTAATAGACTCTCAAATAGAAACTAATATGAACTAATGTAAATATCATGAACATTTAATTGGTATAAATAATGATCTTAAAAAATCATCAAATGATGAATTGACCGCTATGCATGTTTATGCTAGGAGTCTGAATGCAAATAAATCAGCCTTACATGGTCTGATGGCACAATTTGAGAAAGATTAGCCTGTGTGCTACCTCTATATCGATTTCTGAGATCTTGCAGTTAGGCACGTGTAAGTTTATGGCTTTGATTTCTTTAATAACACAGTTTTCGTTTTTGTCTCTTTGGTCCTTCTTAATTCCAAGAATTCTCAGATTTGATTTTCTGCTTTACTGGTTGTTGTGATTTGTCTTTAAGACCATTCATCTTTATCTTCAACTTCTAATTTTCTTTTTGATTTCACTCAACTGCGGATTTCAGTTTTCATCTCCTCAGAGAATCTGAGTGGATTTGTAGACTTTGGTCACATATGTAAAAATCCAAAAATATCAGGAGCTCGATAAAAGCATGCTACCTCTTCATAGTACCAATAGGGTGTCATCCACTTGAAAATGTATTTTTAATATAACTTTATAAATAACAATAAAAATAAAGTTAGGTCAACAGTCCCAAATTCATGAATACCTAGTAGAATTTTACAATGTCACTATATTTTCATTCCTGTCAAATCTTTTCTCCAACACTATATATTCTATCTTGAATTGCCTCGATAATTCACCTCTTAATTTCTCATTTTAGGGGTGAACGTAAGGATGGGACTACAGTCGCAATCAAACAGATTACAAGTGAATCGATGAAAGAAACGGTTGATGGCATGGAAGAAATCAAAATTCTTCAAAAGCTACCCGCCCATGTCAATATTGTGAAGTTTCACGATTTTTTCTTCGTGAAAAAGTCCTTCTGGCTCGTGATGGAGTTCTGCGATGGTGGAGATCTCCAAAAATATTTCAAGAAATTAGAGGGCAAAATAGATGTCGCTGTAAAAGTGGATTTCATGCGTCAGCTGGCAAGTGGTGTGAAGCATCTTCATGACTGTAGACTTGTCCATCGTGATTTGAAACCAGCAAATGCGTTGATAAGTTTCGCAACTGGGCAGACAGTTTTAAAGGTACTATTGACATTTAAACAAACTTGGGTAAAACAGAAAAAAGGTTTAAATGGCTAAACAGGTTATATGAAGAGTACATTCCGAAAATGTAAAACGTTATCATTCCAGGTAAATGAACACGAGAATATTATTGTGTCCTTGTCAACAATCTAATATTTTTCGAATGTAGATAGTTTTCTCCCTTTATTATGGACTACAAAATATTTTTTTAAAGTTGACAGATTTTGGGATATCAAAACTGGCTGAGGGCAAAGCCAACTCCATGCAGACTTATATGATGAGTACGTCTTTGGGGACCCCTTGCTTCATGGCGCCAGAAATCTTCAAACAAGAGAAATATACTTCAAGTGTTGATGTATTTTCACTTGGTATGATCTATAGTGGAATGTTAGATTCTGAAAAGAACAAGGGAGATATTCTTCCTCTACCCGGTAGCATGCATTAATGTTTATTCACATATAGCTAGGCAATGTGTATCTATTAAAGCCAATTCGAACACGCTACTTCACGTAACCGCATTCCATTATATAACCAATCATCGCATCCAAGGTTACTTTTCTTTTTTTTGTTTTAGATTCTAGTAAAACTAATGACACAATTACTCCGTTAGACTGATCAATTTCATAGTTGAGTAAAAACCTATAAATAGTATCATAGGGAATAACATGGAACATGCTTATTCAGGTCTATAATCTATGGTATGACTTCCGAATATGAAAGATCCGTAGCACACTATAGCGCAGCAACATTTGAAGCAATATTTATGGAGGTGCATATGTCTTGATTCTTTTCAAATACCATTTGCTGAAAAACCCTCCGGCTTTCGGGTCGAGAATTGTCTTTCATCACAAGGGGTCAAAAAACGTAAATATTTTTATTCGAACTTTTATACATCTTATGAGACACAGACCATTATTCTAAGTATACGAACAAAAATATATTATCATAATATAAAAATATACGATAATTTTTCCGTAGATATCGGTGTTTAATTAGTGTAATTACGCAAGTGTGTTTTTCAGATTTTGTTTGATTTTTCAAATATGAGCCAAGCAGATTCAACAAAATTTTGTGGAATATTTAGGTAATTTATAATTGGGAACATATTAGTTTTCTTACCATTTAAAACATTTTATTGCCAGAATTTTTCCACATAATCGCAAGGGGTCAAACAACAAATATTGTTCATGTTTTATAAAACATAATACAATAACAAATAGTAGGTAAGATTTGTATCTGATTGAATGTTACAGAGGTATTGGAATGTTCATATATTCCAAGGGCATATCTAATAATCAACTGGTGTCATATGCAATCGAACGCCTTACAATTCTTCCTCGACGTTACTGCTGGCTATCATCAAGTTTTCTGATGGTTGTTTCTTCTTTGACATTGCCGCTGGATACAATCTTTTAGGAAGATAATGATGACGATTTTTCTCAATTATTCATGAATTCGACCAAGTCTTGATGGTTGTTTTATAAGCAACTGAGCTACATCTAACTACGAGAAATAGAATTTTAGATGTAGTCCCAATTAGTCAATTAGTAGGGAACATATGTAGGTATGTTAATGTTAGGTCAAATATCGTTGCGCTATAGTGTACTACCAGCTCCTTTATTAGACGTCCTAGAGATTTCATACCATGGGCTACTGAAGGTAATTGTTTGGGTTTCAAGGTGACAATCCACGATGCTTATTGACACAAAGAGAAGACAACTTGATCCTTGAAAATATATTCTTTTAAGTCATTCCATATCTTTTAAATAATATTGTATAAAATATTTTGAAATGTGTGAAAAGAATCAGTCAATGCATTGTTTAATGACCATTCCTTACAGGCATTTTTTCCTTAATGGATGCTTCTCATCGCGTGCAAATTTTGGAAAGCAACGCCTTCAAGGAATGGTCATTCCATATTGCAATAAGTCCAGGGATTAAATCCTTTATGTTAGGAATAAACAATAAGTGAGAAATAATGGCCAAGGGGCGAAGCCCCGAGGCCATTATTTTCTCATCCGACCCAAGGGGTACAAACTCTTATGAAAGTGAGATAAATGGACAATGAGCCAATTTTAGGAAAAATTCATTTCTTTTACATTGACTGAGGTAAGCTTATTGAGAAGTGAGTGGGTGTAATTAGTTCAGCTTTAGTGCATTGCATTTAACATGGCATTTAAAGTTTAAAGTTTGATTTTTTGTGTTTACAAATCAACTACTAGTATTGAAAAAGTGAATAGAGTAATATATAGTTCAGCTAAAATGCACTGCATGTAACAGTTAATTATCTTTTGTGCCACACTGGGTTTTTGATAGCTAATCCCAAGTGTACATTTTTTAAAAACAATAGAAAATAATACTGCTCTTTGTTATAGCTGGATATTCTTAAAAATAAAACACAGATCATTCTAATATGTTGCTACAGTCAAAACAGAAATGTTCGTGACTACTTTGAATTTGAAAAATAAGCAATCAAATGACCATATTGAAACAGTTTATGTAAAAATAGAAACATTTATATTTATCCTGACTTTTGTATATTTTAGTGTGTTTTGTAGTTTAGCTATCATATCTGTGTCCTCTTATATTTTGATACTTCTCTGCCATGTTATTTTCGGAAAAATTAACATGGCTGAAACTCCCTAAAGTACAAAAGGCCACAGCTTTGCTGCACATTATACATTACTATCTGAAATATACAATTTTTTTTTTAATTTTTCCGAAAATAACATGGCAGAGAAGTATCAAAATATAGGAGGACACAGATATGATAGCTAAACTACAAAACAAACTAAAATATACAAAAGTTAGGATAAATATAAATGTTTCTATTTTTACAAAAACTGTTTCAATATGGTCATTTGATTGCTTATTTTTTTAATTCAAAGTAGTCACGAACATTTATGTTTTGACTGTACCTATGTGTGGTTTAATATTTTATAAAACCTTGTCCATGTAGAGACCTACAGTGAAACCCTCTTTTGTAATGAAAACCATTTATTCGCTGTGTTCAATTGAGGCAGAGTTGGGGTAGCTTATTCAGGTATATGTGTTGCATTTCCAGATGGTCCAATGATCATGCCAATGCCAATTGGGATGCTTCTAGCTCAACCCGGATCTAATGTGAAGGTTTCACCGATAGTGAGTAGTGATCCTGAAATTGTCAAAGCTGTAAAGGGTGTTATACATAAAATGGTTGGGGCGAATGCTGGACAGAGGATGTCATCTACAGAAGTGAAGACACATATGGATAAGTTGTATGGTAATGAAGTATATTATTGGAAATTCTTATCACAAAAAATCATATTTAACATTTTTAATCCACTATCAGGCAGAGCCAAGGTGCCATTGTGATATGCACGTGTATGTCTATTGGCTCCTCCAATTATACGGAATATAACAAAATAGCGGTAACCAAAATACATAGGGGTTATGCACAGGGAGTTTTTGGATACAGGGAACATCCCGAGGGATATACAATATATATTCCCAAGGGCCCGAAAGGACCAAGGGAAGATATTTTGTATAACCCAAGGGATATTACCTGTATCAAAACCGACCGTGCATAACTGTTGTACTCCATACCTGATGGGGTTTTGATAAATAATAAATAAGAATGAATAATGATAGGCCATTCAATATGGTGAAATTTAGCACAAGTTGGACAGAATGTCGTAAAAAGCACGAACCGAAAGTTATTGTGAAAGATGCACAGGTATTCACCTCAGTAGAGTGAAATATTTGTTCAATATTCATACCTGATTTTACTATGTTGTATTGTATTGTATTCCATACCTGATGAGGTTTCAGGGACCTCTCCGGGCTTCGTTGAGTATCCCTTGTGAAAGATGAACAGGTATTTACCTCAGTAGAGTGAAATATTTGTTCAATATTCATACCCGATTTTACTATGTTGTATTGTATTGTATTCCATACCTGATGAGGTTTCAGGGACCTCTCCGGACTTCGTTGAATATCACTTGTGAAAGATGAACAGGTATTCACCTCAGTAGAGTGAAATATTTGTTCATTTTCACACATTTATTTATTTATCCACGTACACTCGTATTATTGTATTATTAATTTAGATTCAGGAAAAGAAGATATTCCACCTCCTACTATGCCATCATCACGAAAGACACCAGCAGGTACATCCAAGGATTTGAAAATGGACCAAGTAGATTGTATATCCTCTACTTTGTATCGTATTTTCAATTACATATTTAGACTGCATAATGAATAGCTACATCATACTACTTGACACACTTCCATTCCTACATTTTGTAACAATAACAATATACAATATCTTCTCGGTAACATATTATTTGGTGTTGCATGAGGAATACCTGCAATGGTCTATGTTACATTCAATATTATATTGCAATGGGTGTAACTTGGTAGTTCTTTAGATTAGGCTGCATATGTGCGTAGAAATGCATATTATTAACACATTTATGTTAAACATATGCTGATTTAGATTCAAAGAAGAAGGACACAGCAGCAGCAGATATTTCAATTCCGCCTCGGAAGTTACCATCACTGTCAGGTTTGTTCTTTTTTATAATATAGATAAACGTATACTGCTTTTTAACAATTAAAATATTTATATGACTTCATGCAAAAGTAATTCCTGATGACATGTTAAGTTTTAAAATCATAACAATTGATAACAATGATCTCTTTTTATGTTCCCCCACCACATAGTGTGGGGCCATATTGTCGGCCTAGGCGCATCCGTCAGTCCGTCCGTCCGTCCGTCACTTTGTCCGGCAGATTTCTCAAAAACAACTCCAGATATCACCTGTATATGTATTGTTAATTTAGATTCAAGAAAAGAAGAAATTCGACCACCTACTATGCCACCATCACGAAAGACACCGGCAGGTACATCCAATGATTTGAAAATGGACCAAGTAGATTGTATTTCCTCTACTTTGTATCGTATTTTCAGTCACATATTTAGACTGAATAATAAATAGCTACATCATACTACTTGACACACTTCCATTCCTACATTTTTATCACTTGCCCACTTCCTAGGTGATCATACTCAAAGATGTAGCAAGTGTATATAACTATTACGTTGTTACATAACAATGGGCAAACAGTAAATATTTGAATAATTTTAACAATTTACAATATATTTTCAGTAACATATTATTTGGTGTTGCATGAGGAATAGCTGCAATGGTCTATGTTACATTCAATTAGATTGACTTGGTAGTTCTATAGATTAGGCTGCATATTTGCGTAGAAATGTATACTATTAATACATTTATGTTAAACATATGCTGATTTAGATTCAAAGAAGAAGGACACAGCAGCGGCAGATATTTCAATTCAGCCTCGAAAGTCAAAACCAGGTTTGCTCTTTTTTATAATATAGATAAACGTATACTTTTTCTTAACAATTAAAATACTACATGTAAAAGTAATTCAAGATGACCTGTAAGTTTTAAAGTTAACAATTGATGACAATAATTTCTTTTTATGTCTCCACCACATAGTGAGGGGCCATATTGCCGGCCTAGTCGCGTCCGTCCGGCAGTTTTCTCAAAAACCGCTCCAGACATCACCTTCAAATATTCAGGGATAACTTTATAAGTGCATACAGATGTGGATGAAAACATTTTGACTCGCTACCTTCTTCCTGTCGGCCATTTTGAAGTCAAATGCTAAAATCCTTGTCTGCAAACTTTAAGAAAAACGGCTTCACAGAATTACTTTTAAACTTTAACATCTTGTTCAACTTACTTTATTCTACATCTGATTAGGTTTTGGACCTATAAGCTCAGTAATGGCAGCCATTTTGGATGTCTTAAGAAAATTTAGCGAGCGATAATACTTTGTATCATATTAAGATGGTGTTTTCGAGTTTGCATAGTTTAACTTTTTAGCAGCTTTATAAATAATTTCAGGTGTCCTGTGTTGTAAAATGTTACTGTTAACAATAGTTGTATGCTATAATTTTGTAAAAGGAAATCAGCAAAACTCACTCCTTCTTTTTAATTGTCGGCCATTTTGGAATATCCGCCTTAAAATCTTATCTGTAAAGTCTTGTCTACGCGTTTTCAGGTAAACCATTTGATAGATCAATTTCAAATTTTCAGGGACGATTCTTAGTATCTTAAATCTAGAACTGATTAATATTTCGGCATTCTGGGTAGTGAACTTCTAGAAATGATTAGTTTTTCGGCATTCTGGGTGGATTTAAAGGTAGCCATTTCGGATTTTCCGTCCTAAAATTCTCTCTGTAAAGTCTTGTTTACACATTTCCTGGCACATCAGTTTACAGATAGGTTTCAACTTTTCAGGAATGATTCTTTGTATGAAAATCTCAAACTACTTATTAGTTTTTTGGGCAGTCTGGGTAAATTTTAAGGCGGCCACATTGGATTTTTGTCTTAAATTTTTGTTTTCTCAACTGATAGTGTCCGGCATTCAGGATTCAAAATTGCAGTATATAGGATCACTCATAGGTGGGGATATGTTGTACACATTTGCGTTCTTGTATGATTTCTGTATGCCAGTGGTTTTGAAGGATATGGTTTACACTTGGAATATTAGAATGATATTTGTGTTGTACTCTCAGGTGTGAAGTAATTGAGTAGTACATATATCACCGCATCTCTTTATATCAGCTGTCTTTTTATGTTTATTTTTGGTGAATCACTCCCCATGAGGCAAAACATATATCTCATGCTTAACATGTCTAGGTGAAACTGGCGACCCCTCTTCAACTGTAGTTATACACAGACATACAACATGTAGAGGATGTAAACAAGCCCCGATAACAGGCATTAGATACTTATGTTTAAAGCACAGAAACTGCAGCTACTGTGCTTCTTGTAGACGTCAGGGGAGGCAGACTAATGAAAACTGTAAATTTTGGAAGATAGCTGACACGAAGCAATGGACAAAAGAGAGTAAATATTTGAATATTTTAATTGTATTTCGTCCTCTTGTTCTGATTTTGACTTAACATTGTATTTTTTAGTGTCCATTCATACACTTTGTGTCATTTATCCTCTTCTTACCATCGTAAACTTCAACCCTGACAATCATTGTGACTAATTAAGAATGAACCAATGCATGATTCATAAATGGCATGTATACGAATTAGAATGATTTCATTCAAGGTCGAGGTGTAGGTAGCCTTATTAAAGGGGTACTTCATCACGGAATGCGCTGTAGTGAATGTGAGGGTCCTATAGTCGGAGAACTAAGCACATGTACGACTTGTGATGACTACAATCTTTGTGAAATATGTGCTGTTACATACACCCACAAGAAGCACAAGTTCATAACTACAAGCAAGTCAAAAAAATCGCTTGCTAGACCAGGTATTATCATTTCCTCTTTATCCTCAACTAATAATATAATGACAATACGAATCATACATTTTAGAATATTTTCAAATTAATATTTCTTTCAGTGTTACTCTTGAATAGTTTGAACATTCTTGTGATGCTCTCTAAAATAGAATACCGGTACAGAATTTCATTCTGCGTTTTCATTATACAAAACTCATTGGCTCAATCTATTATTTAATTGTGCGTTGATAGGCAATGAGGAAAGTCTACAAAAGCACCCAGGTGTGACCTGCGACGGCTGCTTGCATGCCGTATATGGCAAACGCTACAAATGCGCAGAGTGTGATGATTATGACTTATGCAGCGTCTGTGAGGGTGTTGGACTCCACGATAATCATAAATTCTGTAAGTTTTAGGATTAATATCATTTCCAGTTTTTCAAAATATTCCATTATGTGTAACGTGCATATTTCAATTTGTTCGTATACTTTTATAAAGTGGTGATTGAAAGACCTGATGCTAGGATATCAACAGCCGAGGGGATCGGCTATCAAGTTATTCGAGAAATGGTGAAACAAAAAGGAGCAGAGAAAAAGGTGCCTTTAAAAATAAGGTTTATATTTAACTGTCTATACAAGTTTGAATTGCAAACTTTACTTTATACCCGTCTTTCGCATGTACAGTGTGTCCCAAAAAAAGGAAACCGGCAATAGATTGCTTATTTCTCAAATATGAATAATGATAGGAAAATTTCACAGCCACCATCTGATAGATTATGATGTCCTCTTTCTCATGATATCAAAGTTGTCTATTTTCCTTCACGGATGACTGAGTTGTAAGGGATTTAAGTGACCATGTCAGAAATGAGTTTGTACCACTTTCAGCCAAGTCAATTTCACCATCATAACAAAGTGATAAGTAACAACAAACATCAGGATATCACTCTTTTACTCATTTATTCCAATTAAAATTACACATATCATATTTAACACCCCTTTTAAATCCCAATGTCCATTCAAAGTTGTTTTAACCCCAATGTCCTTCAACATGACCCCCATTCCTTTCATCGAAATGTCTGCCCTTGATCTCATCGCACGTACGGCATCCCCGATGAGGTCTCTCTGTCCCCTTAAATCCTCCACTGCTGCGACAATCCTGGCCCTTAGATCATCAACGTCTCTTGGTGGTGTTGTGAATACTTTACCCTTGAGATAACCCCAAAGGAAGAAGTCGCAGGGTGTCAGGTCTGGGGATCTGTCTTGCATAGCCATTTTAATCCCTCATTGTTCAGCCATTCATGACAGAAAAAGTGGCACAAACCAATTTCTGACATGGTCACTTAAATCCCTTATAACTCAGTCATCCGTGAAGAAAAATAAACACCTTTGGTATCATAAGAAAAAGGACATCATAACCTATCAGATGGTAGCTGTGAAATGTTCCTATTATTATTCATATTTGAGAAATAAGCAATCTATTGCCGGTTTCCTTTTTTTGGGACACACTGTATAAGAATTCAATATTGTTAGAGTTTAACCCAGTTCTCCTTTCTCGGCAGCTGAGAGTGATGAGAATGAATGTGTGAGCGACTTGTATGTAAATTTATAATTATACTTCATGATTTTATCGATGTTTGATTTAAGAATCTCTTGTAAATTCAGATTCAGAAATTTTGTTCCTTGTTGAAATGTGTTTTAATTATTATATTTTCAGAATTTGCACTCGCATAAAACAACTGTATTTGTAGTTTTCAGCTGGGGATGTTGTTTACATGACTACAAATCCGGAAAAAGCAAAGGAATTACAAGAAGGTCATGGGGGTTGGAATGATCAAATATCTCGTGTAAGATTTCCAAAAAGTGATTTAATTATAAGAACCTTTTACTGAATTTAACTTGCTGCATGTTCTCTGTATTAACTATTGGATTCTTTTTCAGTGTCTTGGGAAAAGAGGAGTTGTATCGGAAAAGGTAGCCCACGTTTGGAAAGTCAGATTTGATAATGGAATGAAGTAAATGATTATATTGTTTGCTGCAGTTTTATCCATTTTGTATAAGGGGCGATCAACAAATTACGCTGATAGAGATCTCTATCTTAGAACACCAAACTTGATACATACTATTACCAAACATTTTCTGTTATATTCACATCTGAGGCACAAATATGACTTTATGTCAGAGTTATGGTTACCATAGCAACCTGTGGTAAGGGCAACAGAAGCAAGTCGTGAATCATAACAATAAGGTATTAGACGTCTGTCCAAAATGAGTTTGAAAGACACTGTTCAGTCATACAAATTTGATGTTATTTAGATGTAAATCAATTTTGAAAGTTTCTGTAAATTATGTGATATACTTTTTATCTTGATGTCATAATACCTACCCAATAGGTTTGTCATTATACATGACGATACCCAACGATAGGATGATAGAAGACACAGGCATTGAAGAAATCAAAGTCAAGTCAGCCATATTGAAAAATGATTGAATTGAAAACTTCAGATCTCAATAGAAGACAGAGAGAAATGCTGTATTTTGAATGAAATGACACTGCAAAAAATTTACGAGATGCTGAAGAAGTCATTTTGTGATACAAATGGACTAAAGCAGTGTCTACATATGGTACAGAAAGATTTCTGAAAAGCTATGAAGATCTGTTGAGGATGCTCGACATATAGGTACTCCAAAACCACCACGCACATTAGAGATGCTTTAAGGGGTAGGGCAGCTGGTTATGGCTGATAGGACTGTCAACATATAACATGAGCTGGGCATTAGTTATGAGCATGAAGAATCATTATTAAGAAAAATTAGGACATCATATACAGGGCGTATCAAAAAAGCAACAAGTAGTTATCTCGTAAAATCACAAAACTAGTGATGACTACATCAATTTCATTCAATGTACCATAAAGCCACGTCTCTCCTCTTTGCAATGATATGTCATTCATTCAAATTTGGTAATGGTTGGGTGAGAAATCCTTCCATTTGCATAGTGGTTCAAAATCGGCTTTGGACCAAGTTTTAGATATTGCAAAAATCAGTGCAAGGGCTAAGTGCCAATGGAAGTTCACCTGACTTGAATTGTTGTGACTTTTTCATTTGGAGCTATCCCAGGAGCATCTGTACTCACAGTTCCTTCACCAGATATTGCAAAACCTCGAGAAAGAATTGCCCATGGGCTGCTTTTCTCTGCTTTAACCCACAGATGACTCAGGGCTGAACCATGCATGACGTGGACAGATAAGCTCATCTTTATGTGCAAGGAAGTGGTGACAATTACGAGGGGTATAGGATGTATTCTTGCAAGAGTATGAGTATGAACACTTAGCTGTCTATGCCACACCTGTCACACCTTCTTCCAATAGCCCCTATGCCGCTTGTACTAACTTTTGCAATGTTTGAAACTTGAGTCCGAGCTGAATTTTGCCCCACTTTGCAAAATTAATGATTATTTGGCCAGCCATGACTCCCTGTGAATGAATGATATTCCATTGCAAAGAGGAGTAATTTGGCTTTTTGGTACATTGAATGAAAGGAATGCGGTCAGCATTGGTTTGATGTTTTCTTCCAATATTGCATCGGGCTCCGTACACTGACTTTTGCGATGTTTATAACTTGGTCCCAAGCTAATTTTGGCTCACTTTGCAAATGGAATGATTACTCTCCAACCATGACCAAATATCAATGAATGATATATCATTGTAAAGAGGAGACACATGGCTTTATGGTGCATTGAGTGAAATCAATGCTGTTATCACTGATTTATTTTTTGATACGCATTGTATAGAGGTGCTTTGGAAGTCCATGACCCAGGTTACCGTATGGCAAATCTTTATTGTTACTAATATTCAAGACCTGTTTCAGGTACCCAACCACGGGTTCCTATGGTAATTTTACCTTGGGCATATATCAGTGTTTGTGCATGAAATTTTCTGGGAGTGTTTGGTGATACTATGTATCAGGTTTAGTGTTCTAACTCAAATTAGTTTCTGAGATATAGCTTTATTTGTTGCTCGTCCCTTGTATATACGGAAATATTAGATACTCATATTTCTAATTAGAATATATAATATTATCAGAAATCATCTGCGATACGGCGAAATATTGGTTTGACGGTTATAGTTTTCAGATAATAAGGATACTTTGCTTGGTATTCAAAGCTTTTCACCAAATATTTTACTGTTCTGAAATAAGAGACTAAACTGTCTACAGTTAACATGAACTTCCACATTAAATGTTATATTGGGTATAACTTTGTAAAGAGAGTATATCATTCTATAGGTGGTCGATAAACCCAGCCTTGTTATCAAAGAATCCGGAAAGAGGTGCAACATCTGGGAAGTTCAATAGATATGATATCGTGGTGATCACCTGCAACGCACGCACACTACAACAGAAACAAATAGGACATGGTGGATGTAATGAAAAAATGTTAAAGGTGAGAATTGAAAAGGGTCAAACTACATTAAGATATTGATCACTCCATATTTTTAGATTTCTTAAGATTTCTTCTTTCACAGGTGTTCTTAGAATTCAACATGTTTGATTCTGATACTGATTCCTTATCATAATTTGTGTTTTCCCTAATGACTGGCTCAGTGCGCCTAGCAGTTTTGTAATGCTCTTTAATCTTTTCCCTTTGACACATATGCATACCTATTTTGATATGTTTTAGGTTATTGGTGTGAGAGGAATTGTGCGTGAGGTGGATAGTGATAATGATGTTGTTGTGGAGTTCATCAACAGCGACAAGTAGGTTTTGTCAAATATTGCTTGTCATCTTAAACTTTAACAAGATGTAGTTATTTAATGGTAATTTTAATTTATGTAATCTTCTTTTGAACACGTAGATGGTGTCTGAATCCAGAACTTCTGACTAAGGTGGATACATCTAAAGAAGAAATCAAATCGGGATCTTTGGTCATCATCATAGATGATTATGAAAAAGTGAAAAAACTTCAACAAGGACATGGCGGTTGGGTTTCCCAAATGATCGAGGTGGAGATAAAACATTTATAAATATACTGAAGTTACTAAATGTGTATACACACATTAGATTTATTCTATAAGACTAAATGTGAATCACCTTAGATGTGTCTTTTATGGCTCTATCCATCTTCCTGTTGACTTCTCTCGAAATATGAACCCGAGTGACGCCATACATTGTTAGTGCAATATTTGATTAACACGAAAGTTGTTTTGTCAACGTTTCATTTATCATATCTGTCCATTAAATTTTGAATTGTGTACAGGTCTTGGGACAAGCCACTGTCGTTAAGAGAGTCGTCGGACAACGTGTTGTGGTAGACTACAAAGATAAGGAATGGGTTTTCAACATGAAAGCTGTGGTACTCGTAGCATCAGAAGGTATTGTTTTTATGTGAATCCCAAAATATACATGCACACGGAACTATAAGGCTATACTTGTACATGTTTTAACACGTCCTAAATGGGAATTTGAGCATTCGCGAATTCAACTGCCAGCTGACGAATCGACCTACTACTTTATGGCCAACTCATTTAAGCATGAATAGCACTTGCCACTATTCCATTTATATTTAAGCGAGTTGAAAGTAGGTTAAACTTTCAGCCGCCAGCCGGTAGTTAAATTCGGCTTGTCAATAACCATTGGTATTATGATAACCCCTTGATATCATTCAATATCGATTATTATATGACATCTCACTTAAACTTACCACACCACATTTTTATCCCACCGAACGAAGTTCGAGAGGGATATAGGAAAGCCGTCCGTCCGTTCGCCCGTCTGTCCGGGCAATAACTCAAATATCGGTTGACGGATTTGATTCAAATTTTATAGGCTTATGCCTCATTGGGATAGGACCTCTGCTCCAGAAGAAATTTTCAGTATGGCCGCTTAAAAATGACGGGCATTTTTCGGAAAAATACAATCCTTGGTAACTCACATACTAGCAGATGGATTTGCTTCAAATTTTATATGCTATTGCCTGGGTACAAAGGAGCCTTGCTCAAGAAGATATTTTTAAGATGGCAGCAATATTTCAAAATGGCCGCCATTTTTCGTAAAAAAATTATATTTCATAACACATATACCATTGAATGGATTTGGTTCAAATTCTACATGCTGATGCCTGGGGATATAGGGGCTCTGCTCGAGAATATATTTTCAAGATGGCAGCTAAATTTCAAAATGGCCGCCAATTTTCGTAAAAGAACATAACATTTATTAACTAAAATACCAGTCGACGGATTTGGTTCAAATTTTGTATGCTGATGCCTAGAGACAAAGAAGTTCTGTTCCAGAAGACATTTTCAAGATGGCCACTGAATTTCAAAATGGCCGCCATTTTTCGTAAAAAGCGTAATCATTGATAACTCAAATACCATTGGATGGATTTAGTTCCAATTTTATATGCTGATGTCTAGGGACAAATGAAATCTGCTTCAGAAGAAATTTCAAAGGCGTCAGCTGAATTTCAAAATGGCTGCCATTTTTCATAAAAAAGGAAATGTTTGAAAACTCAAATACCAGTAGACGGATTTAGTTCAAATTTTATATACTGATGCCTAAAGATAAAAGAGCTCTGCTTGAGAAGAAGTTTTCAAGTTGGCTGCTAGTTATCGAAATCTCCGCCATTTTCATTAAACATGTAATCCTTGATTACTCAAGTGCCAGTTGACGGATTTGGATTTAATTTTACCTGCTGATGCCTAGGGGCATAGGAGCTCTGCTGAAGAAATTTTAAAGATGATAGCTGAATTTCAAAATGGCAACCATGTTTCACAATAACATGATCTTTGATTACTCAAATACCAGTTGAAGGATTTGGCTCAAAATTTTATATGGCCGCTATTTATCAAATCATGTTTTGTTCGGTGGGATTTTCTGGAGTTGCTGTTTTTATTAAGTACATATACATGACACCTATGTTATAAAATATTCCTTTAAGATAGAAGTAGAATTCTCACACGATCCATTTGCATTTTTCAGAGGAAATGCTCAAAGTGATGTCCGGTGCCCGGTAGGTTTTTATTTCCTCACAGTTTTACGGTCATTATATTTCAACATGTTTTAACCAGTAAAGCCACATAAGCGTGTTTACGTTTTTCCGCATCTAATATAAACATCATGCGTTTCAATTCAACAATGAACAATCCATTCTAGAATTATTAAAAAACACAATCCCATTCCTCACAAAGGTAGTTGTCGTGTTCCTATCCCACCGTGACCTACTGATGGTAATGTGTCTATATGAGTGGACCTTCTGTATGAAACAATTGATATATGTATAATATTACTTGAACAAAATAGAGTCTCGAAGTACTCGCCTTTGTGATTTTTAAATTACCTCTTCTGCACTAAGGTTTCAATATACCGTTGGACAGCTAAAAGTTACAGCTTTAAGAATCTAACCTCACTTTTTCAATCAAAATATATTTTGACAATCGGTTTCTATTTTCATTCTAAATGTCCATAACAACAAAGTTTGTGGTCTCGGCAACACATCAGCATATAATTACGATGTTTACACTTTGTGGGTAGGATTAAATTTTCTTTTTGAAATTACCACCCAAATATCCATGAAAACGATGTCAAGTTTTTTTTACATCATCATTTTTCATTGAGTTTTCATATAAAACAGAAGAAAGTACTTTAACTGCATAAAGGATATATTTGTGCCACTCTTCATGATCAGTTTGTGACTTTTACTTCTCTCCTTAGTTTATATGAGGGTGGGGGGGGGGGGCGGTTGTATGTGAAAATATATGGTTTCAGAATGCCTCTATAGATTGTTATGACTGAGGAACTATTCATTGGAGTCACTCCATATTAGACATTATGCATGCTTCAGATGGAATGCTACAATAAAGTGAAATAAAAAGATGTGGTACGAGTAAATAGGTGTGACAAGAGAGGTCAAATGTCAAATATATGGCTTGATGGATTCCACTTAACCTTGATATGTAGTGCATCACCCATACCACTTGTAATGTTTAGATTGCGGGTAGGCAATACTCCTTTGGAATCAATTATATCATTGATAAGTAATTTTATAAGGGTATATTTAAAAATATAATATAAGGTCTAAGGAATATGAAAATACCCAATGGTAAGTCAAAAAATGCATTTTCTCATGCTAAGTCAAAACACGCTTGCAGCAATCTTAATATTCTCAGGAGAAGATAAGTAATTTGTATTGTACATTCCTATATACCCAAATTACACATTAAAGTACATATTATTTCCAAATATCAAATCTCCTTTCTACTAAAAACAAAAATTCTGACGCATTTTGTAGCATTATGGGGTCACTACACTTAATGACCCCTATCTCACCCTATCTAGATCTGTGTATATAAACGCGTTATTTTGGGCCGATCTTGGCAATTTAGTGACATACATTTTCGGCAGAATTGGCCCAATGGCACTCAAAGGGTTAAATATTCTCCAAAGTATAATTTGACATTCAATTAGTTATTGTAAACCTAAAAATAATCCATTCTGGTCATAGGGGTTACTTGTCATTATGAAATTGATTTCCATAAAATGATATAATAATAAATGATCCCTTGGAGATGAAAGTGTTAATATCTAATTTTGCCTTCGCTCAAAATTCAATTGGATGTCAGATTCATAAAGACCCTTTTAGCTTTCCAATGGTGTATTGGAACTACACACTATTTTCAAATATCAAATCTCATTTCGACCGAAAACAAAAGTTCTGATGGGTTGTGTAGCATAATGGGGCCACTGCACTTAATGACCCCTACCTCAGTAGTATCTTTATTCAAACTCTTAAATGTTCTCCAATGTATAATTTGACAATAAATTAGTTATTGTCAACCCAAAAATAATCCATTCTGGCCATAGGGGTATTTGTCATTTTGAAATTGATTTTCATAAAATTATTAAATGACCTCTTTGGGATGAAAGGGTTAATATCTAATATATTCAAATGGAGGTCAGATTCTTAAAGCTGGCTCTTTCAGCTTTCCAATGGTGTATCGGAACCTTAGTCCAGAGGTGGTCATTTATATCACACTAGTTTGCTCTGCTAATTGGAGTAAACCCCCGTTTAAGACAATACCACAAGTAGCTGAACGGTATAACAGGGGCACGGGGGCAACTCCTCATTATTACACAAGAATGAAAAGTATTCACGTTTTCAGAGCCAGGCAAAGACATAAACTCGACAGTGGTATCGCAGGGATGCAAGCGTTACACGTGACACAAATGAAAGTCATAGAACAAGCAGAAGACTCAGATGATGGGGACGATTGCACCATCTCATAATTTTTTTATTTATTTTTTTATTTTTAATTGCAAAGTATGAGACTACCCTTCAGTAGCGTTTGGCTTAGCTTCTTAAAAGATACTACTTCGTTACTTTAGGACCAACATCTACGCTCTGGGTATGCGCACATATTTTCTGACAAGCAAATGTACATTAAGATGCATTGACACGCTAGCAGGAAATATATTAAGAGGAGCAAAAATCGTAATATTCTGACTTACTTGCAATATATGATTATGCTACGTGCTATAACTTTATTGGATACACTTATTTCTACATGCGACGAAGTTGTTAGAGATTATACTATACAACCATCTATATAGCTGTAACTTTAAAGGAATGGAAAGCGGTAGAGTGTGTAAAATATTGGGGTTTTTAAAAAATCATGCCATTCTTCCGTTACACAACCAATCCACATCCACGTGGAACCCATGCCACGAGGATCCACGTTGAATCCATGCAAATTCTGCGTGGATCGGATTAGAGTGAATCATGGTTTCTTTAACAAAGAATTATAGAGGCTGTTGAAGATTTGAGATGAGAAAAATGTCTAGATTCATTAGCTTAGAAAATGGGACATCCCATTTAATCTTTTGACAGATAGTCTTAAAAAGAAAAGGATAAGATCCTGAAAACAAAGGAAGAACTATAGAATCCTTTTGATAATAATGATGACATGGAATGATGATAGCAAAAAATATTGTACAATTGTAACATTTAGTACTTATACAAGTCAGGTAAAGCACTGGGGAAGAACTCTGGAAACGAAGATAGGGTGCTTTCATCCTTCAAATCACATTTAAAATATTTGGCAAGTATGTGGTTCGTGAGTTCCGGTTTCAAAATATGATTACAACTTAAAAATTAATTCTGACATTGCTGGGATGTTCACAAATCAATTCCCTCGATTATGAGACTAGGAAACGTTTTAAGAAAAAGTTAAAGTTGCAGTTGAAAAATCTGTCTGGAAATTTATTAAATCTTTTTTTTAATCTCGGTCAAATGTCAGGAACTAGGTCAAATCTTACATTTACAACATTCTTCAATTATCTTATGATTATGTCAATAATAATCGGAACTCCTCCATTTTTTGTCATCATTGACATGTAGCTTAGGAAAAGACATCAGAATTTTGATTACTCTTACCGATTTTAAAATATGGTGTCCGGAAAGAATGCCAAAACAAAAAGTTCGCCACATTTGATTTGTGAGTTATGAAACAGGAATCCGAATCTACAATCCAAACTTTATCTGACTTCAGGTTCGGAAATATGGCGTTTTGAAAGCTCAAAAATCGCTATTTAGTGTCCAAAGTTAAGTCAATGGGGCTGAAAAAATTATGAATCCGAATCAGAAATCGAAAATGAAATCCGACTACAACAACGTTTTTTGTTTACTCTTACCGATTTTGAAATATGGCTTCCAGAAATGAAATGTTCTGCAAATTTAACGTACTATGAATTATGACATAAAGGTAGAATTTTCTCAGGAATCCGAATCTGCAAACCAAATTTTTATCCGACATCCGGTTCCGGTTCGGAAAAAATAAATTCTTCAAATTAAACATGTGAGGTATCTCCTTTTTGTAAGTTTTCCCAGGAATCCGAATCTGAAATCCACATTGAAATTCAACTTCCGGTTTAGATTCTACGCCATTTTGAAATTTTGAAAAAAATTAATTTGATGATATCCCGATAAAATATCGATAGTATTGAAGATAATATTGAAAAATACCTCTCTATCCTGTCTTTGCTTAAAATTGTTTATGCACATACAGAAAATATACCTATTATCTACGTGCGAGTCATTTCAAAAATGTACAAGTACTCGTTTTCAGTACTCATAGTGCTAGTACTTAGTGCAGCAGACCGAGTCATGCGTCCAATTAACGAAGACCATGGTTGGTTGAGTATTCCCCATGCCAAAGTTGTGTAAGATGGCTGCATCGGGAATTACTTTCTTGGAAGACGATTTGGTTCCGGATGCATCCATCTTGATAGGTATATTATATATTCTGAATATAATAATTATGTTTCATGTAGATGTTCACTATTTATGCATGTTTGTATTTATGCAGGAATAATAATTGTATCTTAAAATGATTACTTGTTATAAGTTAATGATTGATTAGAAGTGCAAATACAGGATATTAATAGTAATTTTAACTCTAGACGGAACTCAGGTCCTATTGGATCTGCAGCTGTTATTTATCCGGAAAGGATCAAGCTTGTCCAAATAAAGCAATATTTTCACTAGATAAGAAAGAACTTCAGTGTCGATCAACTTTTTCTACAATTCAAATTTTGTTGAGAAAAATGTTTATGAATATGTAAAAATTAAAAAGATTGACCGTTTGGTTATTTCTAAAAAGGATGATTTAATTTAACATTGCTTTCAATATTGCACAATTCAAGAAGACTTACATTTAGATTTCATAATTCGTCCTATGTATTAATAAGAACCTTATCTTTCATTTGACACCAACAGCTTAAATGGACCACATCAAAGCTTACAATAAATTATCAAAAATTATTTTCGAACTGTCAATCTTCATATATCAAGTTTTTAGCAATGTGATTGAAAGATGGCAAAGTTGCTTGTATTACATGTAATGATACATTCATTTTTATAGAAGTGTCGCCATCTTTTATATCAATAGTAATTTAAAACATGCACTTTGTTTAACATGTGCATGCATGTCTAATGATCTCTGAACTTCAAATAATTTTTTCTATTTGAGTTATTTTTTTCTTGGTTCAATATTAAAGCAAATCAAACTTTGTGTCATATTTGAGCAAGTGTGTGAGTAACGTGTTTCAATGATTGTTTTTTCTTTTTTCTTCTCAATTAAGTATAGCGTGCCTTTAAGAAATTGTGATTATTCTATCGGAATACAAAAGTATGAAAATCCACGGCCGGATCTTGAGAAAAAATTACTTTGAGTATACAAGGTGTTCGAAAAGTAACAGGACTGGTGCTGGTATCTTGTTGAATATGCCCCAATTGTCTTCAAAAGTACATAATTTACTTCCAAATATTGTGAATAAAATAGTAAAGTTTCAAAAAAAATTACGAAACTTGGTTAGAGTTATGGTTGCTATGGTGACATGACATCACAATACCCGGGGCAACATTCCACAGACAAAATTCTAGAATTTTGTTCATCCCATGTGTTCAAGTTAAAATGCAACAGCTGGTGGGATTTCCACTTTTAACTTTATATTTCCACGTTTCCTTAATATTGAGATATACCTAGGCTCCTCTCTGGTCAGTACAAGTGTAGTGATACTGGATCCATGACTCATACACATGGTTGAACCCAATTAAGCCTTTTGTGATTCGCTCTTTAATCGAGAAGGTACGAAAATATGTACTTAAAAAGCCCACAAAAAGGACAAAATGTGAGTAATTAATATTTTCCAACGATCCATTTTGCGTGGCTATTTGCGTAACCCAAAAGTTCTAAATCAAACTAATGACGCAATTTTGTTTTTGTCAATATGGCGACTAGTCAACTGATCACGTGACATTTTCTTCCGGAATATTTTCTCACTTTTAATCATCGTTTGGAGACACACAACCATCAGATCCTTCCGCCGATCGGGAAGACGAATAGATGGCATTACAAAAACAAAAATATAGTCCAATTATTGTTATAACATTAGCATCACAAGTGGTTAGATTTTGGTAAGTACATTAATGGAAAAGTGTATATGGACCAGCTCTAAGACATGATTTGATGTGATTAAGGGGCATTTTCTTTTTTTGACCTGCCTCCATCCAATTTTTGACATTTTCTATAGATGGCGTATTCAACAGGTGAGATCTTTTGATTTTCGTGGGGAGTTTTGATTCAAACTTTTTTGAATTACAGAGGACATAGTGGGGTATGATGGAATGATAGCAAAACATGTCCACAAATCTTAGTTTTCTCTGGAAGACAGACCGTTTGTATGGGAATACGCATGTTATAACAATTAGTTGGGTTAACCCTTTTCACCACGCTATGAATCAAAACAATGAAAATATATTTGTTATATCAAGATCAAAGAGAGATCTGTACTCCCGTGCGGGAATATGAACGGATATATCGATTGAAAAGCAAGTGTGAAAATCCCCATGTTAAGTAGGTGTGAAAATCCCCATGTTAAATCTATGGCGGGGGGGGGAAACAAGGAAGTATGCGAAATGCATCATGGGAAATATTTTGACCTTATATAATGAAAATATTTTGCGTTTCCATTTTTGAAGAGGGAACAACGAATAAGACAATTGAGGACATGGTCGATTGGACAATTTGGTCATTCTTATCTACAAAGGTCCTACTGCGCTGATTAGGATTCCATTCTCCAGAGAAGTAAAAATTAGATATTGTATGATCAGGAGAATATTGTGCATGGTCTTAGACTTCAAGACCTAGCTCCTCTATAGCTACAGAGGTCTTTAATGCTGACTTGTAGTCAGACACGTTATCAAGGTAGACAATTGGCTTTTCGAAAGCTCAGCTGATTTATGCAGACTGTTACAGATAGTGATATTCCAGGAAACAGAATAAATATTATGAAATCACAAACTCTTAAATCTGACTTGTAAAGCAACACTATAACATCATAGTAACTAAAAACAAACAAGAAATGTTGTATTGCAAAAAGCAAGTTAGAAACTTTCTTTAGTTATTCAAAAATGTTAAATATCACATTTTCGTGGAAAAGTTGCCCCGGGTATTGTGATGTCATGTTACTATAGTAACCATAACTCTACCCTCATTCCATATTTTTTTGAAACTTTAGGGTTTTGGTGCAGAATTGACAAAATACCAGCACCAGTCCTGTTACTTTTGGAACATCCTATATAAATCAATGGGGAAATATCATTATGACACTGCAGTTCTACCTTTTATACGTCAATATGTATCTAAGGTAGTGAACTTAGCAATGAAAATATAAGTCTTTATTATGCACCTCATTAAAATACTCAAATCTGATTGGTTCTTAGTTGCTTGTAATTTGGCAATACTCTGCTCTTTTCTGAAAACTGCCGGATATTTTTTTTATATCTGACCCTTTCGGGAAATAGGGTCGGATATTTTTTTAGATGTTTTTGCAACATTCCCACTTCAGAGTTTTATTTCTTAATAATTGGAGTACTACTTAAAGCTTACATCTGAAACTGGCGGAAAATAGAAGAAAAAATGCACTTAATCACAATTACCCCTA